AACGCCACAGAGCCATAATTAGCTGATCTTACCATAATTTATATATTTTCTATAAAGCTTACTGTCTGGAATGTGATAACTAAGGACCGGATTTATATGCACAAAAAATCCTCAAAATATGTTTCTAAAAATGCCGTAATATGCTATAAAATATGTATTTATTTTTAAGTATTTACTTAAATATTCACTTAAAATGTTGTTTAAAATTATATACAAATATGTAAAATGTATTATAAATATAAAAATAATTATTAATTAATACAGTATTAAAAAAAGTATAAAAAAGCTTTTAAAATATTTTGTTGTCTTTGTCACCATTTAACATTCTTTATCTTCAATCTATAAAGTATAAATAACCACATTAATAAAAAGTGAAAACAAAAATTGAATTCATATTTTACCTTATTGCATTGGATGATAAGAGTATGTAATCTTATCTTTGGAAATAAACACCGGTCGCAATTTTATCGATATTATGTGGCAGTGATCGTGAAAATACGACAAAACGAATATATGTGCTATAATAATAATTTGTATTATAAAACTATAAATATGCATTTAATAAGTAAAAACGTTGAAATATGTAAAATATGCAAAATTAAATTAGTTTTATTTTAATAAGAAAGATCTAAATCGGGGACAATGCTCATCAGATTTCAAAAAGTTTATTCCAATACATCAGTGGCATATTTATGGGGTGGGCCAAAGGGGCCCGGGCCCCTCCCGAAATGAAAAGCGCAATTAATAAAAATTGTTATTTTTGACATGGAATATTATGTCTTATGGCTGGGAGTTATTCCGAAAAATTATCGCGACACCGAAAATGTAACCATGATGTCACGAACGAAATTGTTGCATATGCGATAATCTAAAAATAAGAGTATAGCATGTTGAATGCGTTGGTATTTTGACAATTATTAATGATTATGTAACACAATTTAAGTTTTATAAATAAAACCAATATTGGTTGATATATAGTTGTTTACGGCAGACGGAAATTATTTGTAAATGTAATTTTAGTTCATGACTTCTTAGAATTAATTTAATAACTGAGATAGTAATATAGTATATTACTTTATTCTATTATAACCTTGTATTTATTTTATTCTGCACTCGATCCAGTTTGTCGCTGCTTTACCATAATATTTGTTGTCCTATATCAGTAGTGTGATCGATTTTATTGAGTTCGTTCCACAATACATGCGAAATTTCGTGTTTTTGTGTAATTTTTATCGTGTTACAATTTTTCTTTAAAACTTTATATTTTTTTTATTACTATAGTATCGTCATAATGAAGAGACAAGTGTCGATTCAAAATTTTTTTGTTAAGAAACAGAATGTCACTAATAATGAAATTGAAATTAGTTACAGGAATGTTTCATCTGCCATTGTTGACATCGTCAATATCGTTATTACTGACAATTCTGGCATAGATATGCCAGTAGCCATCGTGGACTGCAGTCTTAACCAAGAAGTAACGAATAATCGTTATGACATTCGGAATTTTTCCAACGAAAGCTCCGTTCGTTCTTTAACTAACGAAGAACGACTTTCATTTTTTGACAATGTTTGGAAACCACAGCGTGAATATAAATTTCCAAAAATATCAGATCTAAATCATACTCGACCTTTTCAAATGAAATGGCTTGAAGAATATAAATGGTTAGCATATTCTGAAAAAAAATTAGGATCGTTTTGTAAATATTGTGTAATATTTTCTCATTCTGAATTTGTGGGGAAAGGATCTCACCAAATGGTGGGGAGTTTAGTAACAAAGCCTTTTACTAATCTAAAAAAAGCTAGAGAGGTGTTTAATCAACATCAAAATTGCACTTATTACAAATATACAGTGATAACTGTGGAAAACATAAGATCCATATTAAATAATAAAACTGAAAGTGTAATAAATGAAATTAATACCCAAAGAAAGATTAATGTTGTAGAAAATCGAAAAAACTTATTCCTATAATACAAAGTATAAGATTTTGTAGGAGGCAGCAAATTTCTTTAAGGGGCCATCGTGATAGTGGACGAATAGATCTTAAAGAGCCAGAAAACAACGATGGAAATTTTAGGGCTTTGCTACGATATAGGGCTAATAGTGGAGTAATTAGTGCCTAATACTTTAATCTTAAAGACCAGCTGTTAAATAGCGATGGAAAGAGTATGTATACCAGCTCAGTAGTTCAGAACGAATTTATTACTACGTTCGGACATATTATACAGTCTAAAGTTTTGTCCAACGTAAAAAAGTCATGGTTTTACTCTGTATTAGCGGATGAAACAATTGACATCAGTCAAGTTTAGCAATTTTCTCTGTGTTTACGGTATGTTGACGAAGATTCATTTAAAATTAGAGAAGATTTCCTTATATTTGTTCCTGTACATGAAGTTACTGGTTCAGCTTTAGCTAAAATGGTGTTGGAGACTTTATGAAGTTTAGGTCTAGATTTAAATAAACTTAGAGGTCAAGGGTACGATGGCGCATCAGTCATGCGAGGCCAATTTAGAGGGGTGCAAGCTTGCATTAAACAAAAACTACCGTTGGCCGTCTACACCCATTGTTCTTCTCATAATTTAAATTTCTGCTTATCAGATGCAAGTAACCTTCTATAAGAAACTGTATGAGTATTATTAGTGAAGTGTGTGCATTCTTTCACATGTCAGCCCAAAGGACGGAATTGCTCAAATTAGCCATTACTGAATGTTGTCCTGAACAAAAAAAAAAAAAAAGAAACGTGTTTCCGAAACACGGTGAGTCGAAAGACACGACTCAGTACTTTTCTTTAAAGGAATACTGTAGCCAATTAATCTTGCTCTCTTAAAAATCGAGGAAAAAAATGTAAAAGCACATGCTCTAAGCAATTCTATAAGTCAATATCAATTTATTGTTATTATTTTTGTTTTGAGCAACATGCTTTCCATGACACACAATTTGTCTGAAATACTGCAAAAGAAAAATATTGACCTTTCACAAGCTATGAAAAGTGTGACAAATATTTTGGAGCTGCTGAAAAAACAAAAAACAAATGTAGAGGATAATTTCAAAGAACTGTACGTCCAAATAAGAGAATTTGCTAACAAAAATGATATTAAAGAAGAAGTCCCAAGAACTTGTCGCCTTCAAGAATCCCGTTGTAACGTACCTTACAACTCAGAAGAGTATTATCGGTGAGCAGTATATGTACCTAACCTTGACGATTTTTGTAGTGCATTGAATGAACGTTTCGAAACCCATAAGGAATTAATCTCATCATTGCAATGCGTTCTTCCAGAATTTTGCATAAAAAGTGAGTTTTCATCACTGGACTCTGCTTATAAATTTTATTCAGAAGATTTATCTTTCAAAGAAATCGTGCAGAGCGAATTCATGTTGTGGAAAGAGAAATGGATAAAAACAGAAGTTATAAACCTGCCTAAAACAGCCATTTGCTCTATAGAAAGATGTGACAAGAATTTATTTCCCAATATGTATACCCTTTTAAAATTGTTGGCAGTTCTGCCCGTTTTTGTTGCAACTGTCGAGAGGAGTTTTTCGACCTTACGAAGATTAAAGACGTATCTGAGAAATACAACATCTGAAACCAGATTGAATGGATTGGCCTTGTTATCCATTCACAGAGACATTTATGTAAGTGATGAGGAAGTTCTTAATAAGTTTGCAAGTGTGCAGAGAAATCTTGATTTTGTCTTGTAAATTTTTTTTTTTATAAATCCAAAACTATGTATTTAAAAATTATAGGATTTGTTTATTCTTGTACGATTGTTAATTATATACATTATATTAGTATTGGTTGTATTCTTGTTTAATTTTGAGTGACGTGATTAAAAAATTGTTTATTGAAACTTAGAGTTTTAACTTGTTTTTATGTTACAATTAATTATAAAAATTATTGAGTTTCTTATTACTCTGATGATGTAAAGAGGGTTAAAAGGTCTCGCAGGAATGCTTTCCTCAGAGAACTTCAAATAAATGTATATATATTTTATTATAAAAATATATAATCGCCCCCTCCGAAAAAAACCTATATACGCCATTGCAATACATATATGCATTTGCATATAAATCCGGTCCCTAGTAATAACATTCCAGTATTCCCATACATAATATATTTATTATCAATGATCGCCAGAGTCTTACATGAGATTATATTATTTTAGAAGACATTTAAGTTTTGTATCGTATGAATTTGTTGGTCTTTCAGTAATAATTATCTCCAGTTAACATTTTCAGTATTTCATTAATAATTTTTTGAACTATTGCTCTTCTTGTCGAATTAAAATGTATTAAATTATTGTTGAATATATAGTGAGTTTATGTGAAAAGTAATTGTTATCTGAACAATTTCCAATTGGTGAGCGGATAAAAAAAAGTAATTTTTTATTTAGTTTCTTTTGTACTAATGGAATGGATTATCGAGTATTAAGTATTCTTATTGTATATAGCAAGAACATAATTTATATAGTTATATATATATAGTGCACAAATACATTCAGCTATACCATACGCACATAATATTTATATATTTATAGTACGGTACTGATTTTAAATTGTACTTAATGTCTTTGTAATTTGTTTATGCACACGTCAATGATTTTTTTATAAACTTGTTTATATAATAACTTGAAGGGACACGTTGGTAAAGATTTATTGAGCACAAAAATCATAAGAAAAAATACATTATTATTATATGTATGAATTATAATAAAAATTATTACTAGCAAATTTTATTTTATTTTTAGATGACAAAGAGAATTTATCCTTCTTATGTACAATGGCTTAAATTTTCCATAACGGTTTCAACACATATATTGTGTATAAATTACCATTATACATATAATAATAACAACAACAAATAATAGTTATGAAAGATTTTTAATCAGTCATACTGTTCTAACTTCTCTAATATAGTAAGTAATAAATTATTTTAATATTTAGAACTTAGTATATTATATTATGATGTACTTGTATTACTTATAATCACTATGATAATACTTACGTGTATTATGCATGAATCAACATAATTCTTTGTTGGCTTGGCTAGGATTTAACTATGAATAACCGGTGAAATGAGTCATTAAGATTACCTTGAACAGAAAATCATAACCTAAAGTTAAAGAGTTGTCGTGTAAGTAAATTATTCATATTGACTGACAAGAATACTTAAAATGCATCTTAATAATGTACGATAATAAATAAGCATACAGTATAATTTAATTATTTTTTTACATCTGATGTATATGCTTTATTTGTTGTATCAGATAGATATTGCCCTAAAGGAAAGTACTGGGAAGTTTGTTCATCTTTCGTTTTCGATTTTAAAAAAAGTTAGGTATTCCTTAATTTAGTCGTCCTTACATTTTTCCATAGTAGGTAGAATGTTGTATTATAATATTAGTGAACACTAAATTTTTACAAGTTATATAGTGTTTTTACTGTCCATATCTTCAATAAATCAAGGATTTTAGGAATAAGCTTATTTGAAATAAAATTTGAATTTCAAAAATATAGGAAATGTTTTTTTTTTTAATGTTGCTTTATTAAAAATACTTTTAATTAAAATAAATATTGGATATTGTGTTTTAAAACTTTTGACTTGTGTAAAATCAATGGTAATTAAAATACATTTATTAAAAAAAAAATTCTTATTATATATATATATATATATATATATATATATATTATAAGTACATTATTAATATTAATTATAAGAATTATTAGAATTTAATATTTTTAAAATAGGTATATATAAATAATTTAAAACAATTACAATTAACTCTAATATTTAAAGCACATACTTAAGGTTATAGTATTACCATAAATGAACAAAAATGAATTATATAATTTACTAGTTTTTTTATAAATGTTATTGTTTTTAATATACAATTTTTTCCGTTATTTGATTGTTATTTGTTCATTTGTTCTCTTTTATTAATTTTAGAATGGCATTATTTTAGCCATTTATTTATAAATCATCAATGAGTCTTTTTTAATGTCATCGTTATCATGTTCCATACAAATTCGAAGCTTCTTGTATTTTTGGTATTATTTTAATATTATCCTAATAAATTGTATTCGATATTATGTTTACTTTTACTTTGCATCAATCCAGTATTTATTTTTTGATACTTCTATTATTAAATTACTATGATATATTTTCTGTTTTGTTGCAGTGGCTATTTATGTATTTTAAGTCCATGATTTATAATTTCGCATTCATATAAACATATATAATTATTTATATTTGTACATATACTATTTATGATATATTTTATTGAAAATATATGTTTATTGAACTTTATTTTATTAATTATCTACTATTTTGTAAACCAAGGTGTGTTTGGATACAATTGGGATACTTATATTTGGGATAAAATACGACTACCTGAATTCGGGCCGTAATCAGGCATTTTATAAACATCTCTAGTAGGTATTATTATTTCTATAAATTAATATTTGTATTTGCATATTAAAAACGTTGAAATGTTTACAGCTACTTAAATGAAAAATACAAAATTGAATCTTCTACCAATATTTTTAAAAATTTGAAAAAATATTTATTTCAAAATTGGTTGTATAAAATATGATGAGGAGTAAATGGACTTTCATGAATTTGACATAGGTAATATTTTTTAGGCATTATGAAATCATATTTACTTGATACTGTTACATAATAATAAAAGAGGATTACTTATAACAAATACTTTTAACAATAATAACTCTTACTAAAAAATCATGTAATAATATATTATTAAAATTCTTTATCAATAGAGAAGTTTTCAGAGTCATAAATATCATCATTGTATTAAAAAAAAAAAAAAAAATTGTAGATAGGCAGAAGTTATGTAACCACATGTAATTAATCATTGAACTGTTCTAAAATGTATTAACAAAAATTGATGAATGTTACTTATTTTAACTAAGTTTAATTAGCACTGCGTTTGAAAAAGTTGAAAAAAGAAGCTTAGTTTATTATCACATTATTTGATATTATTTTTTTTTTTTTTTTATCTATTTTTTGTAATAATTAAGAAAAATATTTGAAATTTCGTAAAATTACCTCTTCAAAGTACCAAATAGACAATATTTCACACAATTGTGATTATCGGAATAATCCTTAAGATTATTCAAAATTATGTACTTTCACGAAAAAAGACAACACTCATCATTATAAATTACACTTTCCTTATTTTATTCAGAATCTGAAAAGCATAAAAATATTACTCATGTATATGTGGTAATGGTTTTTGAATATTCATAAATTTATGTTGCGTGCGATTTGGATACAACAGTTATTATTTAAAATGTAATTAAATTATTTTTGAGATTAAGGAAAATGCAATATATATAATGATAATACGAGTATATAACTATATAATATATATAAGCGTCTTTCACGCTTTGGTAAGCATGTCTTATATTAAATATATTGAAGATAAAGCTTAGTAGATCAGTAAAAATTGCATAGTAAAAAACGTAAATGTACTATATAAGTACTATGTATTTTTATTTTTTAAATTTTTGATTTATCACACCCACATTTTGTTTATTATTATAAGAAAAAAATTTGAGTTAAATTTTATCATGATTACTAACCCCCTTCACATGTTGCCAGGGGGTAGAAAAATTGCAAAATAGTTTTGGTTTGTCGGTTTTTGAATATAATTAATAAAATATTAAACCTATTGTAAAAAGGTAAATAACTTAAATTAAATACTCGCATATTTATATATTTAATAAAAAGCATATCTATGATTTTTTTTATACGTCTATTGTTATGTATGGGAAAAGTTTTTAAGTATAAATTGTATTGGATTGATTGTTTTACTGCAAGAGTCGGGTAACCTAAGAAAATTAAAAATATATACATAATGTTAATAAGAGTATGTAACTCAATAGTTTCAATAATAAATCAATTTAGATATCACTAGTTATAGGGGGAAGGGGATTATTTGATTAAAAGCTATATGAGTTAAATTTGATGAAGATTAATTACCCCCTTCACTTGCCACAAAAAAGTTGAATATTGCCAAACAATGGTGTTTTAAGTTTTTTTCGATTTAATTCAAAATATATTGCATTAAGCATACAATTGTATAGAACCTAAATCGTAGATTCAGATACTGTATATAAAAAATATTACAATAACATTTCTCGTTAATGTATTATTTTCTGTGAAAAATAATATGAAATATAAATGATTTGATAACTAATCTGGGCATCACGATAAAATCAAAATAATATTGTGTAATCTCGTCGTCCGATGATTGAGAATTTACCATTATTATTAATATTATTTTTTGTAGAAACTCTATATGAAAAAGTAACGTGACGATTCTATTGTGTACTGATAACATCGCAAATATGATACCTACTTTTTTATTTATGTTTTGTTTCGACTGCAATAATAAGTATTTCACCGCATGGATTCTGAATGGAATAATAATTCCGATAACTTGAATCGGAAGAAACGTGATAGAATAATAAGCTGACGAGCGGCCATTTCGTTTTAATTACTTGTGTGTATACCAAAAGTCATTATTAAGACACCTAGATGCAGGTGGCAGTTGATAGTAATCCGATAGATCTATTGATAGATCTGCAAGCTGTTTATTATAACGTAGTTTTGCGTAGACGTGAAGCATGTGTGACCAGTGTGGCAGTACTGTCAGAGCCACGACGTGGTACACCATATTTCTTGTTTTCATGTTTATCGCTCATGTTGCATTTCAGATGTATCTATATGTACCCAATGCTGTGTACCGGTTTTTGTCGCCGGGAGGGCGAATTGCCTTATCGCAAATATTACGTGACCCAAGCGTACGTATAACATGTAAAAGTCTGTTTTTTTGGTTGATCACGTCTATAGGACTACGTCGATCCATGCATGTTTGTTTCCACTCGTCCCCGACCTCACAGATAAAAACATAAAAATCAAGTTATTTAGTGTAGTAAATATATCGATATAGAGTATATAGTTTAACGAACGAATAATAACAGAAACCAATTATTTTAACCGTACCAATAATGTGTTCCATAAATTGCAACAATAGTATTTTGTACGTATGAGGTGTATTATTCATTGTTTTAGTATTCGATTTAAAGAAGGAATAGGGGTTTCAAAATATTATTGTTCGTATCATGGTTATTATTTATTATAATAGTCTAAATAAGTTCACAATAATAATGAAATATAAAATGCAGACATGCCTAAATGGTTTGCTTCATGATTAAAGTTGGATGGATAATGTGTGACAGAAAAGTTTAATACATGATTTTTGCACTTGACATAAAATATTACTACATATTATTTTATTTGGAACTGTTAATTATAATATTTATGTACCTACAAGTACCTTGTAACTTGTAAATTATGCTTTGGTGGGTAATCGACACAAGTAACTGCTTCAATGGAAGATAAACTTCATGCCGCCACTGTACGTGACTACGTTTCCTGTTGACGTGTATAGGATTAAATTTTGTTGTCATTGCCTAATTACAAAAATACTCAGAGTTCCTAGTTGCCTTGAGCTTCAACTAATGATAAGTGATGTAACTTCGGATCCACAACAATTAAATTTCACAAAATATATTTAAATACATAATTAAATGAAGACAATCTATTGCAATAATAATTTATAGTATTACATTTTATTTGGTAGGTTAGTATAATGTTTAATTGCAGTGGCGTAACTGGGAAAAATCTAGAGGAAGGAAATATAATATATTTATTATTACCAAAACCCTGACACCCCTCACCCTCACCAGTTAAAACATATTTTTATTGTATGTATCTTATACACTATATCGAATTGTTTGATTTTACATAAGTCTTTTAACTCATTTTATAGTTTAAATAAACATAAATTGTAGGTAGCAGGTACTAGGTACCAATATTGTTAAATAATACCCATAAGAGTTCATTAATAAAAGTTGCCATTTGTACTGTTGGATTATCTGGGGGGGGGGGCAAAATTATACCTTAATCTCTAAAAAAATTGTCAGAGGGGGCACTTCCCCCCTTTCCCCACAATTACGCCACTGTTTAATTGTATATAATCTAACTTTTGCCAAACTACAATAAAAATATTATCTAATAGTTAAGTTTTGGTCTGGAGACTTATTGTAATTTAAAAATAATAACAATAATATACATAAATAAAAACAACAATTGAATACCATAAAAAGTGATATTAAATTCTGAAGTCACAAAAGAGATAAATATCGGTAAAACTTTAGCCCAAGATGTAGTTGAACTATATAATAACTAAGTAAGTTGAAAAGTAAGCTAAAGATCAATACCGTTAAAGCTTTTATTAATTAAGTACGAAATTCGATTTAAAAATATAAAAAACAAATGTTTTAAAAGTAATTTCATACTTTTTTAATACATTTCAAATTCAACAAAAATAATTTTACAAGAACAAATTAGGTATTAAATAAAATTTATTTTTTATATCTAATTGTGTAATGTGAAAAAACTAAAGAAGTTCAACATTTTGTTGGGAAACTACCGCTCCAAGATATATTTTGTGTCGAATTTAACAAATTACTCGTATAAAAATGATTTCAAAACCCTTTTTACAACATACCGTGGATCCGTGAGTGCGTATTACGTGTAACAGGTAAAAATATAATAACGCACAACCGTCGGAGGTCGGCAGTAGACAATTATTTTGTAAAAACGGTACCTAATACATCGGGTATGTTCGGGAATCTCTCGAAAACCGTACGATAATATATACCCAGAGGGTTACCGATCGAAACGCGTTACATTACGATACGCGCATATAGTAATATTGCACAGGTCCGCTTAGTTTTATTTTGATTTCTTCGGACTCCGAGCGTTGCCAAAAATTCTACTTTTCCTCGAGGAGTGCCTTTCCAACCGCCGGTGGTCATTGCCACTGTTAACCGCACGTGTAACCGGCTGGGCGTGCGAGGTGTACAACGGCGGCGAGATCGCATTCCGAAGGTTATTTTATCGGAAAAACATTGCGTTACTACTAATAATATTATACTGTTTCCCCGTTTGTTCGTACGCGTAATGAACAATATGCACGTGCGTGCGTCCTGAAAACGGGACTCGAACCGAAAATACGGTACAGGCGAGACTGTTACGTAAAAAAAAAAAAAAAATAAATAAATAATAATACCAACGCGATTAAGTCACTCTCCTAATCGTCCGTTTGCTGTTTATTCTCGTCGCAAGGCCTTCTCTCTCTCTTTTCATCTCTCGACGCGGCCAAGCTTTCAACGCTGCCGGATACGTTATTGTAACGCGCGCGCTCGTGTACGGTAGATGAAAACGGCACCAGACACATTGCGCGCGGGGGTTCCCCCGATTCGTCGACGGACCTGTTACACCACACACCGGTTGCATCGATGGACCGAGCCGGGCTGATCCGCGCAGAAGAAAGTGAACGTTTTTTTTCTTTTTTTATTCGTCTACTACGATGAGGTAGGGGTCGGCGGCCCCGACGAATTCGATGGTTTCACAAATTAACTGTCCGCTCTTCTAGCCGTCTTCAAGGTGCTTCGAACGGAAAGACTCTCGCGCCTCAGAAGCGACAACGACACACGGGTTTCCAGACGTGCTCGACAGTTGAAATCCGTCGGACGAGTGCAAAGTATTATTACCAGTCACGAGATTGAACGCATCTGGGTGAGTAAATGTTTTTATACACGCATTCCATTTGTATCGATCCGGAAAATTAACGAAGACGCAAATATTTTTATTTTTTTTTTTTAACACTGGTCGTTTTCGTTTTCGCACATTTTCCTCACGCACTTTTGTGATTTACAATATATGGTATATTTATATATGGTACACTTATGGACGTCACACAGTCTTTTATCACTGTCGTCCATTGTTGTCTAACTGGAGTAGTATGCGAATGGTCGCGTTATCGCGACCAACATTCTGTGGTACATCATTATCACATTATTCCAGGCGATGTCTACACTCAGTTGACTACCATAATACTGTTTAATGTATATTGTGTTCGAAAACGGTCGAAAAGCAAATAAAGCTGTTCAGTTAAAGTGCATGAGTACTGTTGTTTAAATATTTACGCTCCAAGGGCCGTAGTTTGCTGCGAGATTGTTAAAAATACTTAATTTACAAGAAAACGTACATGTCACTAAACTATACTCAAATTTTTAGTTTTACTATACTCATGCTTTATGTATTTTCTGTGTTTGCACGTAGACTTGTGTAAACAATCTAAGAACGATGTACTATTTGTACAGCTGAACATTTGAAAACCTATACGTATTTTTGTACATCTGGTACAGCCAGATTAAAAGGTATATGCTTTTTAAAATAATATGTGATCTTGATAAAGTTGTTTAGACTGGTTTTATATTTCTATAATAACATTTTTATGAACGAACTTGATTATAAGTACGTTAAATAATACGTTAATAAAAACATCAATCAAAATCATAACATGATTTGGGGATTACTGCAAAACTATAAAAATTACTAATAATAAAAACTGAAGTAACTTGTATATTTTATACTTTTTTTTTTAAAAAAAAGAGTCATATTTATTTTTAGATTGAATATTATAAATTACATCATGTATTATAAAATGTAAGTTAACATAAATTTACATAATTTATTAATTTTATTAAAGTGAATTTCATAAATTACGTAAATAATTTGATGTATTATCATTTGATTTATATAGTTAAATGGAATGATAAAATGTTTGTAATACGTACTAATTTTTATTCATGTATTTATTTATAAGGATATATAAAATCAGATGGATTAATAAAAAATTATAATATTCTTTCAGGAACGTATGGGGGACTAAGATTCATCCCCTCTTCCGAAATATCAGAAAACATATTATAAAAATTTGCCTAATAGTTAATTCAAATTTTTTCATAAGAATTGTAAATGAAATGTATAAATATATATCATATAATTAGTAATAAAACATGCTATTTATAAACATTTTACATATTTTCAACTCCCCCTACAGTTGTTCCTGTGTTTGCCCCTGTTTTTTTTTTTTATTATAAATATAAATACATAAAACAATATTACATACTAAAATACCAAAAGTTACTTTATTCATACTAATAAGTTCTTTCACTCATAACGCAGTTAGTGATAATTAGAAGCAGAATGAAATATTCAACAACGTTTATACGTGTAGCATCTTTCACTTAATAAATGGTCCATATTTACTATTGTTCCAACTTTTCTTTGAAATATTTTGTGTTCATATAAAATATAAATTGTAATTACAATATTTGTATTAAATTTATTATTCATGCATATTTCTTAATTATCATTCTTGAGCATAATTATAATTAATAATTTTATATTATAAAAACAATTAAAATTATTTATAAGGTAAAAAGAAAACGTTTATTAAAATATTTTATTTTCGATATATAATTAAATGATAAATAATTTTTTTTCTTGCTTTCCATATGATAGTTCAAATATCCCAATCCTAAAAACCAAATCTTTAATTTAAGGAAATAATGAATTTTAGCTGGATATAAGTTATAGCAAGTTGCAAAAAATATATATCCCTAGTTTTTAGCATTGAAATGAGGTTTATATTATTACAGATCTAATAAATTAGGTTTTCTTTGATATGTTTACATTACAATATAAAATACAAATATGTTCATAATTATATTGTAATTTTTTTTATTTAATTAAATAATTAAACAATTTTAATTAATTAACTACCTATATCTAAACACTAAAGTTCATAAACCAATTTATTTAAAAGATTTAAACTGTTTATTATTTTTATAATTTTCAAATGATTTTTAATGATAAGGACCAAATAATTATGAAAATCATTAATATTCGTTTTGGTTGATAAAGCAATTAAAAAATATGCACTTTGTAACTCAGGCTGTATACTTATAATTGTAGGAAAATTGTGAATGAATAATAAATTAAATTAAGTCAAAATCAACCCACACGTGAATAAGATTTATGCACGCGTTTATTTACTTTTTGAACTGTGTGGCAACTTATTATTTTAAATATTTAAACCATAAATGTATGTGATTTACAAATGTGAAATTCAGTACCAACATTTTTTACATTTAAATACCTACATAAAAATAGTAAATACATAATTTAAGATTTAGTCGTACAACTTAATTAAACGAAAGTCTGTTTGGAACTAGTTTTTAATTATTTAAAAAACATATATTTTACAATTTTGATAAAATATATTTATGTTTACAACATGATTCTATACTTGATCAGGGATTAAGATTATTTACTTGCTATTGTTGTTATTATTGAACCATTACTTATTTCATTTTTAGTCCTTTAATATAAATTGTACTAATGAGTTCACCACGTACTAGCAAGATCGCATATCAAGTGATCATATGCTGGGTATGTACTTGGTCAGAAACACATAACTACATACACAATAGTGAGGTAGATACACGTAGTTACATCACATCGTGGTTATATATAGGTGCAATAATGTGTATTGCATTACTACAGAGTGGCACCGCGCACAGCATATAATTTCTCTTCGTCATAACTTGTTATTATACGAGCAACGTATAAATGTTCAATATTATGTACGTATGTATATATTTATTGTATATTTATTTTTTTATTTTTTTTTTATGCCCACGTATAAACGAAACTTACTTCACAACTCGCACGATAATAGTAAAAAAAAATTTATGCAAGACAGCGACGGACGGCCTCATACTCATACATAATCTTAACAAAACATTAGTTTTTGATGTTGTTATTTTATATAAATTACTTATTACACGTGTTGTACTTTATATTTGTTCAAACCATCGTAATTTTACCTAAACCATTTATTATCACTGATATAGGTAATGTGATATAGTTATTTTTGGAAATGCATGTTAATCAATTACCTCGATGGCACATGTTTCTTTTTTTCTTTTTAATTTGAATTGGGCGCGATTCAAGTAACGTTATATATATAAGTATAATAAAGTTTGTGTCACAAAATATAAATTTGAATAAATGTTAAATTTACAAAATAGTCTTTATTTATCAAATTTAAAAACAATAATGGAAAAAACTAGTGTTTTAATATTAACTAATACCTTATACATGATAATTGAGTCCTTTAATAAACCAGAACAAAAATTAACTAATTAACCAATTGATGTAGACTGTAGTGCTATTATATTTTAAAATTATTTTTACTACAATATAAATCCAAGATTTTTTTTTCTGTTTACGACTTGGTTTACCCGAATAAAAATGAAATAAAATAATTTTTAATTGGTCAACATTTAGTTTATATACCTCTATATATAATATAATATTATATAAAATGTAATAAATATGTTATATTAATGAAAGTAAAATAATTGTTCTCTTTAAAATATTTATTACACGATTAAAGTCTTATATATATAATTTACACCAATATTATACTCTTAAATTAATATTTTATAAATTTACAATGTAATAATTATTAATATTAATTATATAAGCAGATGAAATGAAATAATAACCAACAATACTTGAAAACAGTTTCTTCAATGTTAAGAAAAATATCAAGGAGTTTTTATTGTTGCAAATTTATTTAAGTCAAGGGAACTTTGTAAATTTATCAAGACTATAATTATAAGAAATAACTTAATGATTTTAACGCTGCGAATGAGTAAGGCGAATTACGAGTACATGTTATTAACATAATGCTTTTTCTTCTCTAAATCGTCGTGTTAACGTTAGCGAAACGAAGTTGTTATTTTCTATCATGATAATAGGTACATGAGAATGTATTTGTTACTTATTTCTGTTAATATTGTCAAGGCAAGATTTTGAATTTCTTCTTTAAATTATTATGTCTTATTAGTAAATACATTTAAAATCAATTTTTATTTTGTAGGTATAATATCACAATATCATACATTGAGTATTGGTTCGTTTCAGTAAACACATATTTTTAATTTTAATGTTTGTTGATTCTTGTCGAACAATAATCAACTTTTAATATACCTAAAAAACAGTTATGCTTTTCCTTCCTGGAAAATGACCAAAGCGTAACTGAAATGGTAAAAATGGTTGAAACCAATGGTAACTTCATAACCTATCTTATATTGTTTGTTTTTTCTACTTATGCATGAGTTTATCGGTATCAAAGGTAATATATATCTAGGAAATAAAAGCTTTTTTTATATATTATTTAAACCATGCTTCACAAACTAATGTTATCTATTACGTGTATTATTTATTTTTATGCCATTCAAATACTCTTGTTTTTGACACGTTTCTCCGTCCATCAACTATATCATTACCATATTGGTTTTGTTCGGTTTGAACAAAACCATTCTATAATAAATCAACACTGAAAATGACTGGATTGTTTTATAAATCGATTCGAAAGTGTTTATTTTTTTAAATATATTTTTATCGGTAATAGATATTTTAATATAACTTATGAAACAATATGAACGATCCTCTGGTGGTTGCCGCAGTGGTTTGTAGAAACATTTATGCTGTGGCGTCATATTTTTTTCCGTCATGTTCTAATTAACATGTACACCTTATTAGTACAGTTTTACTGGATAATTTTCTTGGCACTTAATCATACGTGATTGTAATGTATAATTGTCCTTGTAGTCGCTCGCGCGATTCCTAATTACCCCGTTTTTATACATACTGCAGGTGCCGTTTTATTATTATTATTCCTGTTGTTGTTTTTATTTTCTTGAAATATTATTTGAAGACGGGCGTTACGTCGGCCATTAGAAGCATGTAGTGAGCAATAACTAAAAAAACCAATAACCAAAAACTATGACATTCTCGTAATACACTGTCAAATTAGCATTTCTATGAGCTTACAAGAGATTTATGTATACCGATTTGTGACCGAATGATTTTATAAACTTGAATATACGTGGCCTAATATTTTTACGCACTGTCAACATATACAATATGGAACAAACATGTTCAAAAAACATTATTATTGTGGACTGTAATATTTTTAGAATTTATAAACTAGGTACTCGAAATTTTTTTTTAGAGGAGTTTTCATAAATTATTTTCACTTATTTTTCATTTGGTAAATTCAGTATGAATTTCTAACATTCTTTTTTTATCGTTCTAATACTTTAACGTTCATTCTAAAATGTCTTGAAACTTTATTTTTGAAAGGTACAACGAAAATTCGTATATAAACTATTATAGTATTATTGAAAATATTCAAATATATGAGTAGTAAATATTTTAGAATATCATCATCAAATAAATATCAAAATAACAACAAAACATGGTTAAATTATCAATTCGTTATTTAATAATGCGTAAAGATAATTACATTTTTAAGGTCATTTATTTACAAGTAGACATAAGTTTATACAATTAGTTTATTACATGTAAAGATTAATATTTTTAGTAAAATACCTGTAAATTATACGTTACCAATAAATTTATATTAAAATAAATTAAATTTATTATAATATATATTTAATATATATATACTTACCTTGTATAGATTACAATATAAAATAGACTGGTATTAGGTTTATATAAATTTTTAATAGTAAACAATTTGATATATTTATGGAATAGCTCAACTTCATCGGGCATGTATCTAGAAATGAAAAAAGGGGGCAGGACGAAAAAATTTACTTCAAATACATAAAATCATTGATATTAAGATTAAGTTATTATTTTGTATAATATTAATATAAAATAATAATAAAAACTTTAATAACGTAATTAACTTTTATTGCATACATTATATAATAACATATTTAAGTGTAAAATATATATAATGTATATTATATAATATGTATAATATAGAGTGTAAAATATTTAGTAGTTGAAATAAAGATAACAGTTAATTAGCAAATAAATTTGAACAATCCCCTTTTTATCTTTCTAGGTTAGGACTATTGAGGACTATATATTATATACAATCACTCATGAATGTCAATAATCAACATAATATAATATGTTTTTAGTATAGTATTGCTTCTTTTTACTTTAATTAATAAATTGAAAATTAAGGTAATTTTTAAAATATTTTAAGTACCTAAGGCCTAGTCCCTCCTTAGACATTAAATACTTAAAATATTAAATCCTCCCCCTCCCGGCTTCAGCCGCAAATGTATCCGTGACTGACTCTATCAAAATTAGCCTACATTTAAAAAATATATATTTTAATTATTATATAAAAATAATATATTTATTAACTATTATATTAATATATATATATATATATATATATATATATATATATATGTATCTATTAGTATATATACTCGTATACTATACGATTTTTTTTATGTATATTCCATCGGTAAATTTTTTTTACCGGAAAAGAAATGGAAATTTCGTAGATTCCTTTTTTTTAACCCGAAAAAATGTATACTCCACCACTATGTTTTATCGAATAAAAAACATGTAAACTCCACCGATGGTAAAATCCACTCACTTCTACCTTAATCCTTTAATAACACACATTCAAATATACACCACTATTCAAAAGCTTTATTAGAAATTCAAAAGTTTGTTTATATTTAATTAAATGACATTGATGAACCTAATAAATTCAACAATTTTTGATTAAAAACACGCTAACAATATTTAAATAACATAATTTTGTCATTTAAGGAACATAATGTTATTTTTATGCAATTCGTCAAAGCTGCATGTAATCATTATAAAACTCAATTTTATTTTGGCTAGCTACTCAAGACTATTATCAATAATTATTTAATTTTTTAAAATTAATTTTAAATCATTCATAACTATGTACTTATTTTTATTTTTTTATTTTTTGGCTAACCTAAATGATAATTATAAATATTTTTAATTAAATGTAAAAAGTATATTAGTATCAGAATATAATATTTATGTATTATTTATTTTTAATATATTTATGTGTTAATATCAATCAGTGATACACGATTGCGGACGGTTCTCATCGGGGCGACCTTTTTAATCGAAATTATAGTTTATCAACGGACCCCTGAATATTACACTTTTGCGGACACATGTTGCCAATTTTAAAAATAAAACTTCGATAATGTGGGAATGTGAAAATTCTGAGCGTATTAAATTTAGTATGCAGTTACAAGTCATTTTTGTTAAATACTGCAGTTAGAAGAAATTAAATTAAAGAAGTTTAAAAGAAACTCAAGGTAAAACTGAGACAATTATTTCATCCATAAACAAAGGTCGAAAAAAATCGGTGGCAAAAAAAGATTTAGGTAGAATCAACCTAACTATTCAGAGCTATAATGATTATAAAAATCACCAAAACGTGATACAATATTTAAAAAAAAAAATAGTTGTCATTACAGAGGGAAAAAAATATACATTTTTAACTTTAAATGTTTATATTATATATTATTATATTAATAAACTGCATCGCACAACTTGGCAACGTTTCATTAAATTTCAATCGCAGTCGTGTCATTTTTTGAGTGCAAAATAATGCCTTTTGTTATATAATGATTGTCCGCAATCGGGTTGCAAAAAAGGTAAAGGGTCCGTTATCGTGTTTCACTCATATCAATATGTATGCTACAGGTAATGTTAACATTTGGATAATGTCCACATTATCCAGCTAAAGTCAACATTAGCCAACTGTTATCATTACCCGCTATGAATATTATTAAATATTGGCTAATGTTAACACCGACCGGATAATATGATATTAGCCAAGAACTTTTGGATAATTTCTTAACAACCATAAACATTTAATGTGCATGAGATAAAATCATTGTAAATCATTAACAATATTAAATATATTTAACATACAATAAATTAGTAATTACCATAAAATACATAATATTATTAAAATGAATTTATTTTTTATTTTTAATAATCTAACCTACTAATGATACAATATTGAGTTTTATTTAATATTATAAATTATTTCTTAAAATATTATTTTAAGTACCTATAGAATTAAAACGCTAATGTTTTAACCTTTATTATTACATGGCATGTTTTCGTGACATTTTGAATTGCACAAAATGCTAGATGATTTGCATTTATACATCGATATATCGATATATTGTTCACTTTATCGGTAAGATAACTGATTAACTCGGTTACAAGTCAAAATAAAATATCATACTCTGGAAGTCCGACGCTTTATTATTGTATGGAATGCTAATAAAAACTCTAGTCTATTTAATATACAACTTTTAACATTATCCAATATTGACTTGTTAAGGTTAACATTATCCGGATAACGTTAATAATTCCTGCTTATAAACGAAAAATTACACATTAGCTATAACAGATGGCTAATGTTGACATTATCCAAATGTTAACATTACTCGTAACATATATATATATATATATATAAAATATCGGTGGAATTTACAATCGCCCCTATATGAGTATATAGTAAATATTTAACGTATGATTATGTAATGACTTAAGTCAATATAAGTTAATACACTATAATTTGAGTTAATTTTTCAAGGAATTTATGTATACTTAGATACTATAAGTTAAGTATTATAGTGTTACAAAATTCGAAAACACCATTTAACAAATTTTTTTCATTGTCACAAATCAAAGATGGCTATAATAAATGCACAATAAAAAAATTATTAGATAATAATAATGAAGTATTAATAGATATTGATTTCTACTAGTGAAGAAATTAGAAACCATGGGGAACATTCACAACAAAATGTGTATTGTTTTGTGATAAAAATATATTCATACAGACTAATGACAACTAACAAATTTATAATTTAAGTACCCATGGATCCATGTAATGTTTCAAGTTCCGGTTAGTTGGTCTTAATTGAGTTCATCAAAAAACTAAAAAGTGTAATATTTTCGACACAAAATAGTTTATTTTACTATATGTGAATTTGATATGAATAAATGAACAATATATACTTTGCCGTTCCACAGGTAGACTGACTTAATTCTTTGCAAACTGTTTAGCAACCAGCTTCGAACAAATAATTTAGTTTATCTTTAGAAAATATTTTAGAAATCGAAAAAAAAGCTTTTCCGCTGTAATCTTATCTGTGGTCAGTCATAAAAATTTGATTTTTATATCATCATGTACTGTAAACAAATTTTAATAACTAAAACGTTATTAATTTATTATTATTATTATATTTAGTAAAAACACTGTATAAGTATATGCAACAATAAAATAATAAGAGTGTTAATTTTATTTTAAATAATAATATTTTTCCCAGGTGATAAAATGACGAAGCAAGGCGTGAGTGAATGGTATGGCGGTCGTTCCATATTTATCACAGGAGGTACTGGGTACATGGGCAAAGTACTCATCCAAAAGCTTCTTAGAGACTGTGATGAAATAAAGAATATTTACGTACTATGCAGACCAAAGCGGGGTTTCAGTCCAAGTGCCAGGATTGAGCAAATAAGGAAATTAGCAGTAAGTGATAAAAATTAATTACTAGTGAAAATAATTAAAATCTGGTGAATAATTTGAATAAAACCAAAAAATAAATATTATTTATAATTACATTTAAGTCGATATGATTATAATTATTTATAAATAACGCACGTTATAATTAGTAATTTGATATTTTATATTCATTATTATAATTTATAAACGTTGTTAATTTTTTTTTTAATTTAATTTGGATATACCGATATATTTGAAAACATTCTCAATTGATTTGCGAATGGAATATTAAATATAGACATTTTAATTTTTTTTTTATATTATAGTATATTAATTGTATTATTGAAGCTATATTATTACTATATTTATTTACACATAATGCGTATTATTTAATCTACAATTATTTTGTATTATACGTCTAGGGAATAATTCGTGTACATTCAATTACATTAAAGCTTTGATAAATTCATTTTTAAAAATTAAATAAATGTGATTATATTCAAATATATATTTGAATAATTTATCAAATTACGATATTACCCGTATGGGAGCTTTAATACCCAATTTCTTTTTAAGATCCAATTATTAACGCCTATAAGTTTAACGTACAAAACTAGCCTATATAAATATAGGTACTATAAGTTTCTTATGTTAAATTATCGCCCTGTGTTGAAAGTAGCTACTATATATAATTCTATAGAAAGATAAGATTTAAAATAATTTCTGCAGTGGTATAATTATAATTTATTAATTACAAAACATTATATTACGATAAAATACATACTCAAACATCCTTCAATTGTATGATAATAATTACATTAATTATTGGAATTCGGTATTGTTTTAATAATACCATATATACCGAACTACAGCATGTTATTAGAAGACACAATTTAATTATGCGTTTTATGCGTTCTTATAAGGTTAGTTAGTAACTGACCAATCAAAAAATCTTTATAGGTAATATATATTTATCATATACATATAACCAGTTGCGTAAAAATGGAGAGGGGTGGTTCGGGATAAATTCTTTCCAAGGACTAAAAAAAGTTTTGAAATGGTTAGAATGAAAAATATGCTTATCATGAATATTTTAATATGTATATAAAATTTAGTATTTTTCAATTATAATAAAATCACAAAAACATTAGTTTTTCATCCCAGAAGATTTTAAAATAGACGTTTTATATTGACATAAAAACTATGTACAATATTTAATCTCTTTCTCCCCCATCCTATATAAGAAGATTGAATGTACGTAGCTGCATATGCCGTATCTTCAATTTGTTGTTCGATTAGTCAAGAGTAAATGTAACTTGACCTATGCATTTTTTTCTTTATCAAGGTATTCGACCGCGTACGTACTGAGTGTCCGGATAGATTGAAGAAAGTAAAAGCAATGGAAGGTGATTTAGGCATACCTGGACTAGGACTGAGCGAAGAGAATAAAAGAATTCTGATGAACGAAGTGTCTGTTGTCTTTAACGGAGCGGCTTCGTTGCGCTTGGAAGCGGGTCTGAAGGACGCAGTGAGACACAACACCACCGGGACAAAATACATATTGGATTTGGCTCTCGAAATGAAAAATTTAGTGGTAATGTTAATTATTATTCATATATAATACAATATCATAATATGTATACTACACCTATATACACATAGTACAAATAGCATAGTAAAATTAAGAACTATTTATCTTTTCTCCTTTTTGGACCAATTTGGTCATCACCAGGGCTCGTAAATTCATCCACTAAAAATTCTATAAAAATTATAAGCATGCAATAATACTGTATATTTTGGCAAAATATGCATTCAAATACACACTAAAAAGTTCAGAATTATATATTAACCTATACTAGAAATAAAAATAAAACTTTTAGAATAAGTAATTAAATTTTTAAAAAATTGATTAGGAAATTTAATATGTATAAAAATTACACTGCATCATTATTCTTTTTTTATGTTCTCCGATTTAAATGATCAACAATTGTCTACCATTAAAGTTTAAACTTATAAAAGGATCTTTCTAAGTCTGCAGATGTATGGAGTGCATATTTAAAGTACAATAAGTCGTTTCCGGTCATATCTTTAGGTAGATCCAGATTTGTGATATCGTCTTATTTTTCTTTTGGTATGATTTAAAATAAAACACTAATAATATTGGCTAATGTATAAAATATAACGTGACCTAAAAGAAAATTGGTAAAAATACGAAACATAACAGACGAGCACACTCGAATTCATGGCGAGCGCACAATAATTAGCATATGTATTATGATTATTGTTTATGGGCAGATTGGCAAATGCACAGAGGTGTATGTGTAACCATTGATTAAATATATTATATTAAATCAATGGTGATATTACCTACCTACTGGTTTTGCTGCAACGAAAATAAATTGATAGATTACAATTTGCACATACTTTAGAGGAAGATGGTAACGGCAGTGCAATAACATTGTTTTTGTAACGTGTGAAATTTAAAAAACCCAGTATCATACAATAACAACAATAAACAAAAAACATTAATAAAATACGATTAACTATAAGACTGAATATTGCATTGTATTTGTTTTGTACTACTTGTGAATATATTGTGTATGATCGCGTTAGTTGGTGAAACTTTAAATCGTATTGAGCTAACCGCAATTGGTCCGTTACAGCAACGAACACTGTAATGTAGTTCACTTTTGTGTTTATGATGTATAATAATTTACAACACAGTAACATTCGATGGGGTAACGTTGACCTGTTGGCGCGATCGTTGCGCAGTATAACACTGTAGTGGAATAAATTGATTATACATCGACCAAAAAGTTACTTGTTATATGACTCTGAAATGCTTATTTTGACAGTTGATCTGTACATTTTGTTAAATATTTTATTTTAGTCATTTGTCCACTTGTCAACGGCATTTTGTCACTGCGAATATGACACACTGGAAGAGACGATATATCCATCACCAGCTAACCCGGAGGATGTCATGCGTGCCGTCGAATGGATGGACGACCACACGCTGGAGACTATAACACCTAGGTACGTAGCAATGAAAATATTAACATAATACATAATACGGGAAATAATATGGATAAGAAAAGTTTTACATCCACTATTTTTCTTTTTTTCGTACCTTAATATTTACTTATTTAGACTCATTAGTTGTCTTCGAAAGTATTATTTTCATGAAAGAACTATATCTATATTAAGTACCTGTGCTTAGGTATCATGCGTCAGCAAGGTTTAATATGTATTTTACTGTTATACTTTTCTCTTGGCCATTGGGTAAATCGATAATCAGTTAGTCTTACAAGAGCCAATTACTAGCAAAAATTAAACAGATGTTAAAATACTTTAGAAATTATAATTAATTGAAATAATTAAGTCGAATGACGGGTAAGTAATCATGATATGCGAGGTAACAGCACTCTTGTTGAATGTAAAAATCAATGACGTCGTATTGATTTCAGACTACTTGGGCCCCATCCGAACTGTTATACATACTCGAAAAGACTGGCGGAAACATTAGTAAGCCAATATGCCAACCGTTTACCGATATCCGTGGCTCGTCCGTCAATTGGTAAGTATCTACACGAAATCATGCATTTGGACCGGCGATTTGAAGGAAACATTTTTTCTCATTTTTATTCCTTTTCCTCAGTGACACCTTCGTATATTGAGCCAGTTCCCGGATGGGTGGATAGTTTGAACGGGCCAGTGGGAGTCATTGTCGCAGCCGGTAAAGGAGTAATACGCTCTATGTTATGTAGCCCGGATTACGAAGCGGAAGTCGTGCCTGTAGACATAGCGATTAACGCGTTAATTGTTATTGCCTGGAAGCGAGCAATGATGGAGTAATTATTCAATAAAATATAATTTATTTATAGTTGGACAAACATCGAATCTAATATTCAATTAAGATTAAAAATAAATGATTAGTTTTTTCCGCAAGAAACATTATGCTTATAAAAATACTATGAACGTTGTTACTTACACAATTTAACAAGAAATAGTAATAATAAATACATTTAACCTTTTTTATTTAATTTCGTTAAATTAAAATACTTATTTTTACATTTCAAATTGTTCAAGAATCTTACTAATCTTTATTATTAATCTGTATTAGGCAAAACAATAAATCGAAAAAAATTGCAATTCACGTGCATGTGTTACACTTATAAAATGAATTATACTTGCAAATCGTCCGGCTGATGCAGTGGAGACGTAATTACTATTAAACTAAATTAATTTATCTTATACATAAGGTTTTATTTTTTCATATTTATTTCTATTTTTATTTCCAAAAATATAATCAAATAGTTTTTGAGTTTAGAATTTTTTTTCGTATTACTTACAATAAATAACGTAAACATTATTTCATTTATGTATAAAACGTGTTACTTCATAGACACTACTAAGTCTATTTAGTTTATATGTTTATTGCAGAAGAAAAATTAAAATATATTTAGCTTGAATTTTAAACAATATGCACGGAAATTAAAAAGGTATGTCCGAAGATATAATATTATTCAGCTAAGCTGGATTGATCCTACGTAGAAAAATTGTATTAATATAATACGAGTATTGTATAGTTCACTATGAAAATTATACTATACTAATATTGTCGCATATTAAATCCCCGTAATGATATATTAATCGTAATTTTTTAACATTTAGAAATGTTGACGACGAAATGGTCCCATGTTACAACATATCCAAAGGTGACATTATCCATATGACTTGGGGTGAAGTGTTGCGTAAAGGAAAACGATACGGATACGAATATCCCTTCGACGCTGGTCTCTGGTATCCCAATGGGTCGATAAGAACAAATAAATTGGTCCACTATTTCATCGTGTTCTGGCTCCAGATGTTACCGGCTTATTTGATCGATGGTATTATGATTTTGACCAGACAAAAAACATTGTAAGTTTTGGGCCCAATACTTTGGGGCTTTGTATGCATAATACGTATGTCGATACGATATGTCGTATCAAATATCGATATTTCGCTTTGATATTTAAAATATATAATAATATGGATACATCACTGGTTTTTTTCTCCGTCCTAGTTAAACTGTATCAAAATTACTACGAAAATAAAACCATCAATTTATATTTAAAATAATCGCACAAAAATCAATCACTTCTCAGAATTAACAAAAAAAAAAAAAAAATCAAACATCTACAATTCACCTTATACTCATTGCTTTCTGACTCAGTTTCCATTCTTGGTGATACACTTAAACGTTAACAACATACGTTAGTCACCGACCACGCAACTGAAAAAATATTATCTTTTTTATCACCATTCCATGAAAAATATTGAAATTTACAATTATCAATAATCGTGTAATGAAATATTAAATATATTAAAACAAATAAAATTCTATTGTATTGTTTTTTATTGTTTTGGAAAAATGATTAAAATAAATCTTTTGTATAATTGTTGTTACCTAATATTTCATTTTAAATTTTGTGACTGAAAAAAATCGTTTTAACAAATATCAATAATATATCAAATATGGATATTTTTGATAAAAAAATACTGATATCAAACAATTAAAATATGTTACATCGATTTCGATATTATCGATATATTATTTGTATAGAATATGCTTACCGTACTGTCTAACGTTTACATTGAATGTGTTTACTCGCAGCATGGTTCGAGTACAAAAACGGATAGCCGTTGGCATGGAAGTGTTGCAATACTTTACAATGCGTGGTTGGAATTTCAAAATCGAAAACACGAAAGCTTTGGTTTCCACCATGAACGAAAAGGATCGAAAATTATTTTACATCCAAAACGTCGAAGTCGACATTGAAAAATACATGATACACGTAATGCTGGGCGCCCGTCAGTATTGTATGAAAGAACCTCTGACCAACTTGGACCGGGCCAGATATCATCTGAAACTGTAAGACAAAGTTTATTGACTATATATTAAAAACTATGGGTGCGACAATTGTTACGATTTTTGTCAAATAGTCCAAAATATTTATCTTTAAAACCTATGTGTGATTATTAATATAATAATATTATTTGTAATTTTTACTTGTACGACATTAAATTAGTACACAATTATTTTGGACATCTTATTCGGAAAAATATTGAATCTTAATATTGAACACATTTAATGTTTTATTTAATACATAGCTTAGATTTTTCACATTTTCAAAATTAAAAATAACTGAGGAAAATGTTTGATTCGTTGAATTAATATCATGTTCCCTTAATGTGACTTGTGCTTTTTTACAACAAACATTTTAGTTGTTTTGATTAAAAAACAGCACAATTTTCTAATCTATTTAAATAATAGAGTTTATGATTTGACATTGATTGATTCATTATATTTATTCGGTATTCGTTATTTTAGTAATAATATGTTCATAAAGTATTTCCTTGGTAGATTTATAGTTTCCATTAAGATATTTTATATATTCATCGCGAGAATAAGAACAATAAAATGGATTAATTACAAATTTCAACTTATTTTTTAACTTTAGTACTTATCTGATATATATTTTACCTTCTCAATAATATAAAAACTACTTGTATAATAAAATATTGAAAAATTGTTTGATCAATTGAATATTTTTGTTGTATTACATATTTACATACATTATATATGTAATATACTGTTATATAATTGTACTAAAAAAAAAAAAAAAATGTTTTCCAGGCTGTATTGGTTAAATGCCGTTACTCAGGTGGTTTTTGGATTTTTATTGTTATGGCTGTTCGTGCGTACGTTTGATTCTTTCAAGTATGCATTGGATTATACTACAAGTTCATTTACGAATGCGCCGCTCATCGGATCCTTAATTCCGAAGTAGTATCGGAACACTTGTATTATTCTTATTTCATCAACATTGTTATTGTAATTGGGTATATTATATATGTATATACACACTGGTGGCATGAATTTTTTTATATCATGAGGTAAATATCATACATGTTAGACAATAAAGGTCAACCACCAAAACCTAAATTGTGTAGCACAAAAACTCGTATACTTTAGTAGTTGTGGTAGCTTTCATTATTTCACTATCCATCTTAAAGTAATCTTAAACAACTTTACAGCAGGGGACGGCTAGTCGATTGGTCCAATGGCCTCATGAAATACCTAAATACCTTATTACGCCGCCACTATACTATAGTATATACTTTATACTTTTATACGAAATGTATTATTGTTATGACATTAATCACACCACTCATAATTCACAAACACCGTGGACGGTTATAAATTCACAATTTTTATAAAACGATTTCATATTCATTATATTTTATAATTTTTTATTTTTATTTTTAAGGTTTTTTTTCTTATACTATACTATTTTATAACGTAAAATATAATCACATGTAACTGTACTATAATCTTAATATTACAATATATATTTCATGGAATTTAAGTAATTATTAATAAATTTACAATATATATATATATATATATATGTGTGTGAATACTGAGTAATATCTCATATTGGTTTTGTTATTTTTTTTTTTTTACTTTATGAATTCACTAGAGTTTTAACTTCATTAAATATATTAATACATTAAATTCTCTTAGCGACAATCAAATTTTCATACACAACTCAAATATAATAATTGTACTGGTTATCATAAATACGATTATGTATGATATTACATATCATTTAAATGAAATAATCGGTTAAATTTTTCCCAAAAGATCAATGTGATGTGAAATATTAAATACAGCTATACAAATATTTAGGATGTTACTTGGTTTCGACGGAGAATTTTTATAGACAGAACGTAAAAACCACTAACATTTAAATTGAAAGCACCGGGCCAATAACGGTCCACAAATAATTTTTTTAATGTAATTATTTAAAAGGATTTTAATACATTTTATTATTACACTATTATTATTTATTTTATTATTTTATTATTTTACAAAAATGATAGAAAATAATAATAATACGGTATTAATAGACATTTAGTTGTACGGGTAAATTAAAAATTGAATATACTATTGCATTATAATCGAATAAATTCATTGGAAAAATGTTAAATATTAATTGTTAGTCATGTTTTTTCCTCATATCTACTGTTTAGGTTAACTTTCTATCGTATGTTTATTTTCTTCATGAATTGTTATTTGTCAAACACCTATATCAATAGTAAATGAAGTGCTCAATAATTATAAATACATTGTCGCGATAATCAATAATCAAATATCAAATAGAATTATTTGTTTTTTTTTATATTTTAATTATTTCAAATCAAACATGTCCATGTATAAAATTAAAAAAAAAGATTTTCTTCATAATTATTTACTAACCAAATAATTTAATTTAAAATATTTACTTAAGTACAAACACTAGGATTTTTTTATTTTTTATTTAAATTTCATGATATCTTATTTTAATCGTCTTTTTTTTTGTATTTTATAATTTAGTAACATCTTTATTAAATGTATTGTTTAAAAAATGGCAATCTTGGCAATCTACAAATTTGTCTATTACGGTTATACGGCCAAAACCGAAGTGCTATGTAAATGCTTTTAGAAAGACTTATTATTTCAATCAAAATGATTATTCTATTATTAAAAATAACAAAAACATTTTAAAATAAAGTACAATACTCCAACGGAACTCTAACACAAATAATTCCTATTTTTTTTTTCAACAATAATTATACTAGTAAATTATTAAATCGAACATGATTAACATGATAAAAGCATTTTGAACTTATAATATAACATAGTATTAATAACATTATAATCGGTTTGATTAAGAGTATGACGATGTTGATTGGGTAGTCTAAAAATATGATTTTGTGTTTGAACGATTTCTTTTAAAAATTTATCATGATGTAATGTTATATAATATATATGTACCTATATTATGGTATTAAAATATATTGACTTAGTCTAGAGTGTTAGTACTCTACACGCACTCATAATTGAACGAGTGTACAAGTGTTATAGATAAATATAAAACGTTCAAATGGGTTCGGTTCAATTAGGTTTTATGAATATGTATAAAAATTGATCAATTAACTTTAAAATATATAAGTACTTTGTTGGTTCTCGATAAAAACGGTTGCATTTTAATTTTTTCGGAGGTTGAATTCACCAAGGGTTTAATAATGCGTAAGATCAGTTTTTACCATCCGAAAATGTATGGTTGATTTTGAAGTCATATATATGACTTTAGATGGGGAAAATTAGCATATTTCAGAAGGTATCAATGAACGTCAATGAACGTCGCTGACACACGGTTTATCTGGTTTTAGGTTTAGAGAAGCCCATGCGTACAGGGTAGGCTGCACACGATCTAGTTTTATCTGACCTGTAATAATATCAGACATGGTACACACAATTCCCTAGAGGATATCTGACGTTATTTTTTAAACCATACGAATTGATAAACTAAAAATACTATGTCACCAGTGATTAGTTTGTGGGTTTTCAGTCTCCGTGGAACGTTGACGACGAACAAAATATATACATAGCTACATACGAGACGTTACGATGGTTTTCGTCGACGTGAGTATATGCATTATTTACTTATTTCTTATACCATTAATAAAGTTATAGTTTTAAAGCATTCTTAGAAATTTCTTCTTATACTTTTTAGAAACCTTAGAGGTTTTTTTTTTTTTTTTTGTTTTTGGTAAAATGTATACATTTATGGAACGTGAAAATCATCACTGTTAATTTTTTTTAAATATTTGATAATTTTAAATTAGGATTATTATTTAAATATCATCTTATTATTTAAAAAAAAAAAAAAAATAAATAAAAATGTATCATTCAACGAGCGTAGCTAGCAGCTTTGTAAAGCATGTTTTGTCAAAAGGGCCCATATAAAGTTTCAGCCCCGGGGCCCAATAAGTGCTTAATCCAGCCTTGACCATAGACATTAAAAAAAAAAAAATAAAAAACATAAACAATAAATACATATTAATATACATAATACACAAAATATATTTCAATGATCTATTATTGTATATATGATATCTTGTTGTATAGCAAATAACTTAACACACGAAACGATATGTGTCATTATTAAAATAATTTATAAATATTACCAAATCACATAAACGCTATAAAAAAAAAAAAAATTAAAATGTATGTTTTCCTTGGTAAATAGTGTCAATTTTATACTGATCATATATTCTAATTGAAACTTTAATTCGTTTTAAATCAGATGAGGCCATAATTTTATTAATTCCTTTTGAAATTGAACATATTTTCTTTATTGTTTCAACTTAGATTTCTGTTAGTATTGATATAACCACTTGTGTTGATGGATGGACGTTATGAAATTGCCCATTGTACATTTTGTGAAAGCTTTCTGGACCGTTTGTTGTTTTATTTAATTTTATTTTTGTAACTGTTCCAGTTATAAAATAATATTTTTAATTAAACTTACTTAGATATAATTGATGGTTCTTTAGCCCATATTTAAGGTGAAAATAAACAGCCAGGTTCGATATAGGTCTTTAAAATATAATCAATAAATATAAGACCTTTAGTGTTATTTGAACACGAACTCATAAGTTGAATAATACCATCTTCAACTTACTCGAATGATAGAAATGGTAGTCCGAAAAACGATTTTAACCACTGTCCCAATTCGACATATTTAATACATGATGTTCGTTAAGTATTGTGGATTTATATCTAATGAATAAAATAATTTATGTTGCATTATATTTTTTATGTTATAATGCATTAGGTATTTACCTTACACCACCAAGCTTGGCCTAAATAGTATCGAAATCCAAAAATTTTTATGTCAGAAAACATCGTTTTTGCAGCCTCATAAGCAGCACATTCAAAATCGACACGCAATTGTTTTATACATAGAATTACAGATAAATATTTTGAGTTTAATTAAATTAAATACGTTCAAATTTGAATATAAGTTTCTTTGCATTTATCAATTAAAAAAAAATAAATAAACCAAAGATAAATAATAATGGTTTTTTTAATCCGTGTATCGTATAATGTTGCATAAAATACTTGGTACGCATTCAAAAGTACCATATTCACACTGTAACAGTATATTAATATTTGTCTTTGTTGTAATACGACGAATAATATTTTAATAAAATAAATTGCAAATCGTCTGGCGCTTGAACAAATTTTTAATTTTTTAATTTAATACCATAATTTTCTTCCATTTTTTTCAACTGAAGTATAACACAGGTCAATGAATCTGGAAAAGGAGGACAATTTTTCCGTTTTTTATCATACATGGCTTTTCTTATAGATTTTATATCTGAATGTGGCATTTTAAAATCTATTGCCATCAGCTCAGATCTGATTATTTTTTATGGTCTAATTGAAATTGAGTCTTCTGATTTATGTTTACAATTTTCTCGTAAAATTTTGTGTTCGATTTTGTATTTAAAATATGACTTTGCTCACCCAAAATTGATAATATTTTTGAACGGCATTATAGTCATTACTTATAAATGTGTAAGCTAGATACCTACTAAATTGTATTTATTATTATAACACCTAATTGAGATCGTTTTCTTTTTTAGTATTAGCAATAAATTATAAAATAAATAACATTAACATGAATTTGTGAAAATTGTTAGTTTTGTGAAAAAATAATAAGACACTATATATGTTTTTATTATACATATATATATATATATATATATGTATAATAAAAAACATTTTTTTTTTTTGAGTTCGGATGATATTTAGCGTGTTTATAATAATGTGAAATGACAGATAAATAGAACAAAGAATTCTAATAATACATTTGAGTAAAATTAATTGTATTTAAAACTGCCACTCTTAGTATATAATATAATTTATTGACATTTTATAAACGCCTTTTGGGATTTCACATCTAGTTGATCTGTTTGATGACGGATACCGGAAAGTGGCCTTCACACTTGTCTCCCAACTCTAAAATAGTATACTGATAAATTGATATTTCATGAATTAAACTTAAAATAATTATAAAATGTAATTTTTCATCATTACTTTGTTATGGATATTTTAAAGTACAGCATCCCGATTGTTTTAACATTTTTTTCGGTTAAATAATAATAATATAATGTGATACAAATAAGATTATACGATTTGAAATTTTCGTAAGAATGAATTTTACTTTTCATTAAAAAAACTATTAATTGTTTCTAAAAAAACCCCTTATAAACTGTTGCAGTAAAAAGGATTTATACAATTAATCTGAAATAATTTTTGATTTATTAAAAAAAATAAATATATCTTTATATAAATATAGCATATATTTTAACATGCAGTTCTTCGAAAATAAGGTATTAGGTAACGTATATTCAAACGATATATTTAACTGTGTGCGTAAGTTTCTATAGTTATTTCAAGTAAACTAATATGTAACCACTATAGTCTAATTTTGGTTGTTATTTTTAACTACCACGGTCAATATAACTGAATCAGAAGTTTTTAAAAATGCCAGCGAATGTAATACAAATATTACACAATATCATCTCAATAGCTTATTAGTTAATAATATATACAAATAATATCGAGATAATAAAGGCAAATTAATAAAAAAAGTAAATAAAAAAATATCGAGATATTGTTTGGATAGGTAACTTTGTTTCTTTTTTTAAGATATACAAATTCCTTTTTCATTTTCTATACGGTTTCAAAATTGTGTTGCAAGTAGTCTAAATAATTTGTCGCGCTTAACTGACGTATGTCGTTATTATTTCGTTAAAATATTTTGCACACGAGCTTCGTTTAAACCAGTTAAAACCGTGCAAAATACATTTTTACAAATCGCACCATATTTTAAATCCTCAAACCTAATGTTCCCGTTTTTAAATATCGATTGATATATACATACACCTCTAGAAACTTCGTGCTTGTAGTATACATTTGTATTGTATTGAATACCATTTTTAAGCACAGTTTTGCGTCGATGACCCTAGTAAGACATTTTGGGATGATCCAAATATGTATGTGGACGATCCCGGATTGGACATACTGTTGTCGTTGACCACGGACGAGTTTTTGCTGTGCAGTAATCAAGATGCCTCAGTCGCTGAGGTCAACGACGATCCAGAGCTGACAGACGGAAGTCCACAAAACGAACAACAACAACAACAACAACAACAGCAGCAGAACAAAAGCAATAATGATGGCAAACAGGCGTTGATATGCATGTATCCGAATTGTGATAAGTCGTATTTAAAGCCGTCACATCTCAAGGTTAATTAAAAGATTTGTTTTTATCCCTATTTTAGATCATATAGTTACACCGGTTTTTATTCACGTTTATACAATTTAATAGAGGGTAGGGATAATGGAGACGACCTGTCGAAAACGTTTCAAATCGTTTGATCTTGAATTTCGCATTTTCTATACAATAATTTGAAATGTTTCACGGTGTTTGATTTTCGTGAGTATTGAAAACTAAATTGTACGTTATAATAATGTATACAATTGTATTAAACCGTCTCCATTTACAACCAGGGTTGGACTAGCTTTATAGCTCGGCCCGGGCAAAATAATTTCGAACGGCCTCAATGGAGCTTTATAAGTAGGTAGGTACCTGATCAAATTATTGTTTAACTGAAAATCTATCTTCGTAACTCAAAAAACAATATTCACCCAAGTACATTTGAATATTTTCAGATTTAATGTTATTCCTTAAATAAATCTAGTTTACGCATAGTATATCTTATCTATAATATTGATATAATGACCTATTAAGATAAATTTTACACCATAAAAAATTATTTGATTTAAATATGTTTATACATTTAATTTTAATTGAGTTAGAACAGTGGGGTCGGCAACTAATGTCTCTTTTATGCGGCCCACAGTAAATTTCAAAACTAGCAAATGTCATTGAATATCACATACATTTTTTACATTGTCTGGCTCTAGTATTATTTTTAATTTGTGAATGTGGCCCAAAGGTCCATTAAGGTTGGAAACTAGTAACAGGATTGTTATTGATTGAACGTCAAAACTATTAAAATGTTTTTAAATAAAAGTCTAATAAATCTTATAAAAATTATTATTATCGAAAAACAATTTCGCTATCTCATATTTTGCGCGACAATGTCTACCCATACCATGGTCTTAGAAAATTAATCTTCTAAGACCGTAACCCATACCAACATTTTATTTTAATAAAATGTTGTTTGAACAAACGCGAACGGTACTTCGTATGATTAACATATTGTATACATCTTTTGTATTCAAATTTCCTACAATTTTTCTATTTATAAATATTCTGATGAAATCATTGTTATCATTGTTATCAATTGGCCTATCGCGACATTAAATATGTTAAATTTTCAAACTCCGAGTTACCTAATTCTGTGTCACCGCATCCATTAGTAATGTCATGTTACAAGACGACATTTTTTATTTTATTTTAAGAATAGAAGATAGACGCATTCAATTAAAAACAAAAAAATCTAAGTAATTTTATTTAACCAAAATTACAACAGCCCATCGGGGCATGCCCCGGTGCTCCGGTGGCCTAGTCCAACCCTGTTTACAACATATAATATTATAACTGTCATAACAATGCATATAGATACATTTGTACTCTTCAATATTACTAATTTTAGAACGATAACTAGCATTTTGCATTGTTGGTGCACTAACTGTGGAATACTAAGCCGAAATTTGATAGTATTTGTTACCCAGATTTTCAATTTTTTCAGGAAAGTTATATATTACGATATGTGATAAAGTACCTAATAGTCCATCGACTTTGTCATTACATTTTTTTATTTTTAAAAATAATAAGATTTTATAAAATATTAAGAACCATTGGTTTTAGAATAAGCAGATATTGTATTGTGTATTCAAAAACCCAAATCTGAAGCCATTAATATGTTGTTTTGTTATTTCCATTCCAAAGATATAAACTTTTAAAGTTGAAAAGTGTTTCTATTCACCCTATTTTACGGTACTCCATCCTCCCGCCACTTGAAGTATTACTTTGTTTCTAAGTGGAGGGTCTATAGCCTATTTAAAATAAAATAAAAGATACACCCTCATATTGTTAAAATCGGTAGCACTTATATTGTATAGACACTAGAAGTCACTGTAAAAGTTTGCATTGAACTTAATAAAAATCGATTTTCAATATTAGAAACAATAACTATGAATAATTTTCTGTTGTTGACACCCCATTTTTATCAAGTTGAATTAAAATTATTATAGCGTCGTCTAGTGTCTGCATATAACAATTTTAACAGTAGGATGGCATATTTGTATATTGAAAAAGCTTTCAAAAAATTGTAGTAATAAAATTAAATAGATAATTAGGCATTATCGCATTATAGAAACATAATGTGGCTTAGGGTTGCGTGTGCTCTGTAGTTACCGTAATCGGTAAATAGGATCATCTTGTACATGTCTATTATATATATGTTTAAAATAGTGTAATACGAACAGATTGGAATTCTCGTAACAAATGTATAGTGATTATTAGAGCCCGGATTTATATGCATTTAAAAGTGAATATGATGCAAATATGCAAAGAAAAAGTGTCTAAATATGCAATTATATGCACTATGTCACATTTTATAAAATGTGGTTTTTTTTTTTTTTTAAACCACACTTTTATACCAAATAAAATTCTAAATATTTTATCAAAAACAAAAAAAAATGATAATATCCACTGTTTTATATGTCAAATCATTTAAATCAATCTAAAACTTTTAGGTAACTTAAAAATGAGAATATAAAAAAAAAAAAAAACTAAAAATAAATATTTTTGATTATTTGAAGTTAATTAGTCTCAAAAAACGAATATAAAACTTAAAAAATAAACAAAAATTTTAATTTATTAAAAACTCATTTAATATGCATGTTATATGCATTTATGAACAAATATGCAATAACCCTCGAAATATGCGAAATGTGCAATATAAAATTTGGTGTTTAAATTCGGTGTGATATAAATCGTGGACATTTTAAACCTCCATAGACGAGCATACACTTATTATAATCATGCAAATGCATATAAATCCGGGCTCTAGTGATTATACAAGAACAGTATATAAAATATAAAATATGATACACAACACTTGTGAAAATTCACAGAGCAAATAATATATATTTTTATGAAAATACCTCGTACACATCGTATAGGTATACGCATTTTAAAAGAATATTAAGGCAGTGTTCTCACCAAAAATAACTGTCAACAGCAACGCAATAGCTACGCGACAGTCATTTCAGTTGAGTTGCTCTTATGTTCTTATCAAAAAATCTGGAATAAAATTAATTTACCTTTAATTTATATCAGTTGCCTATTAATTATTATTATTTTATTTTTTCTTAGTTAAGTACAATATGATGTATTTTATATTATAGGTATGTCGAATGTATTGAATACTCGTATGTATAAAATAAATTATTGATTATTTCGTAATAAAAAGGACACCATTAATTTACTAGAATTATTTGTTTTAATTGAAATTTTGTTCCATGATTTTTCTTTTATACGTATCTTGACGGGTATAATTATATGATTTTGTATAAAAAAGACATGTATGACTTTCTATAAGTTATACATAAGTCACATTTTATTCTTGTTTGTATGACATTTTTAATAAATAATTTAAAAATACAATATTGTATCTTATTAAAATAAACTGATACAATGACCACGAGCAACAGGTGGAAAGAGACTGACATGTCAAGTTGTTTAAAAATAGTTTTTAAACAGTTGAGTTGCTTAATAATCGTGTTGCTGCCCGTGAAAACATGTCGATTTGGATAATACATTCGTGTCGCATCGAAGTTGCGTTGTCATCGATAGTTGCTTTTGGTGAAACACAGCCTAATACTTACATCTGTTATAAATTATAATGATAATATTATAATATTGTATATGTAAAAAATTATTTCGAAATAACCATAACAATAAACCAAAAGTTGAATAATGTATACATGATGTTGTATATAAAGAGCACGTTCTTTCTGGGGAAAAAAGTCTAAATGCCAAACACTTTCATTATGATTGATGTGCGTAGTATTTAATCGTGGTGTTTTCATTGAATTCAAATACACAGTTCACAACAGTCATAACTAACGTAGTCATCATTTATTGAACTCACTGTTAAATGACATATTCATTCAAAACAAGTTGTCACAATTTTACGTACACATACGGAAAAAAAATCGCCTATTAGATTCACTACACTGGTCAATAGGGTTATTTCACAAATAAATGATTAACAATAAGATGGATTTCTATTTAAAATGAATTAGGTATAGTTATCACAGTCATCGTTTAAGTGTTATTCGTGCATTATGAAACAAATTCTCGGTGAAAATAAAGTACTTTTTTTTTGTCAGCAATATATATTTTTATTATACAACTATATAAATATGCACATATATTTGTTTAACTAAACCGACATTTTAACAAATATTTTACTTTTAATTTTTTAAAAAATATTTAGGCTTGTTGACTTTTTCGGTAAGTGAACTTAAATGGCCTAATCCCAAAGCGAGTCCAATAATACGAGACTATTGTACTTGAGATATTATTTCCTATTTCCAGTTATAAACTAGACTTTCGATGGTTACAATTTATGTATTTAAACTTGTCTATTCACTGTTTTTTTCTTACCAATCAACAGGTGCATATGCGAAGGCACTCGGGCGAGAAACCATACGGTTGCATGTGGCCGGGCTGTACTTGGCGTTTCTCCCGGTCCGATGAATTGTCGCGGCACTGTCGTTCGCACTCGGGCGTTAAGCCGTACGGTTGCAGCATGTGTGATAAACGATTCTCGCGGTCCGACCATTTGACCAAACACGCGAGGGTGCACCACAAGCGAATGGCCACTGCGGCCGCTGTTGCTGCTAGACTGCAATGGCAGACACAACAATGCCAGGGAACATTCGCCCAGGCCAGAAAAACGGCTACCGTGAACAAATATCGTCAATAACTAAAGCATGCCCTAGGAAGCGATTTTTGTGGTGACAAACGTGTACGTCTGCAATACATCGTCGTCCCATCAATTTCATTATTAAAACAAAGGAACGGATTAAAAATAATTTCAAAGAGTCGATTCATGTCGTATTTGTATTGATTTGGATGGATGTTGATGATAATAAAACACAAACACTCGATTTCGTAATAACTTTAGTTTTTATTTGTTTTTTTTATCGTTTTTATTTTATTTTCACAATCACGCAAATAGTAGTCTTAGTCTATGAAAAAAAAAAAAAACTTAATAATTATAATATAACCTATCCTTAAAACGCAACAACGCCAAAATGTATCAAACCCAATAAAAACAAAACAAAAATAAACAAACGAGACCTACAAATAATGAGACATAGAATTGTTCAATAATATACAAAAAAAAAAAAAAATAATAATATTAATAAATTAATAAATTAAATAAAATAAATGACAAAAAATATATAATATTATGTATAGCAAAATAATAATTTTTTTTATATAATTTATTGATATTAGAAAGGAGAAACAAATTATTAAGGGAGAAATCATTAAACTATACACATAAATATTACGGCAAGACTTATCAACTAAAGCCTTCTACATAACAATGATCAGTCACAATTAATAATACAAGACACCGGGTGATATAAATGAGTTAAGCCTAGAGTACAGTTGTAACCGACTCTATTTTTCTTTTTTCTTTTTTTTTTTTTAACGCAACTTTACCCACCGATTTTAAGGAGGGGGACCAGCAGTCTCAATCACAACATACAAACATTTTATTGTTCGTACATATTTATTATATTATTATATTATTACTTATTTCTCCTTCCGAGGTTTTTTTTTTTCGTTACACGTTTATTAAAGTTATTATCATTAGTACTAAATTTAATTTAAATTAATATATACGTTTTGTTTTAAAGCAACACCTTAATAAACTAATGCTAATTTTTTTTTCCGGTAAATAAATAATAAGCCACGATTTGGTTTGTTAAAACGAATAATCATTAATCTCACACAGCTTTGAAAACAATCCAAAAAAATTATTCATTAATGTCTATTTATTATCATATTAAACATACACACATACATACACATCATTATGTATATATATATATATATATATATATAAACATGATTGTGTGTATGTATGTAATGGAGGCTAATCATGATTAGCGTTAGCATATGTTGCAAAAAAAATATGAATATAATTAGACTTTTAATTAATATTAACATAGTATTATTATTATTATTATTATAACACTTAAAACTTACAAACTAAAAATAAGTCGTTACCTTATAACGTTAATTTTAAATTATTATTATTAAATATATAGGCTTTTATTATAATATTATTCATTATTCGTTGAGGATATCTCAACGTTCTATCTCGGCACGTAATACGAATATCGGCATCGACAATAATGTAGACATAATAAGTCACGTGGAGTGGTCATTGTTAAAAAACACCGAGCTACAAAATAGGTATTTTCATGGTAATTCTCGAAATTTTCATTTGATGTAACTACAATTTTTTTTTCGTCCTACCGGTAAACACGCTTCTGTTATTTTGACAGAAACTAATAGGCACATACGGGTAATCAATTATAAGAAAATCCGGATCTTTAATGAGTGAAGAAATAAAATTTTTCATTGATATTTTTGTCTTGTTTCTAAACAAATAATCATGCGCATATTGTGTCCTGGGAAGACACCGATGTGCTAAATATCACATTAAAATTTCATACGTTTTATTCAGACAAAGGCGCTTAGGCGAAACTAAGTCTTATATTATTACATTTTTTATGGGACAGAATATAAAAATACCCCTGTAAAATTTGAACAGTCGTATGTATGTACATTTTCATTTCATAATTAACCCAGAAATTCTCTAAGAAAATTAATTTTCATATGAAGAAAAAAATAAATTATTCAACATTTAAAAATTATAATAATAAACTTTATGCTTTGGGAAAAATAGTCATATTAAAATTTCAATACTATAATAAGGTGTTACTATTATAATATGGTATCGACCAAATTTGTTAGAAATTTACGTCGAAACCGTATTTGTACATCCATCTAATTTAAATTGTACCTATCAATCAATCATTTATAATAATAATAATAATAATAAAAAGCGAAAAAACAAAACTATTAATTCACAATACATTAAACCCCACAAGCAAAAAATTAAAATAATAATAATATTTTAATTCCGCCAACAAACGTGAATATTGAAACACGTTTTTGATTTATCTACCATTTTTAGGATTTTCGGAACAGATATATTAAACAATAACGATCGAGTCGTCAAAACCAGACTATTCTGGACATTTTTTTATGTACACACATATACAAAATAAAATAAATTAAAATACTTAGACCTGACTAATACGTCCAGGGAAAGATACGAAAAATGCTATCATAAATATGATGCAATTTAAAAAGACTAAACATGTCATTATCGTGAACTTCAAAATGTTTCGTTCGAAGTATGCAAAAGTTCTTTTGAAGCTAATGGGACAGTTTGGTGAATTTGACGATCACCAGAGTATAGATTTTTTCTATATCTATGAATCAATTAATATGTACATTTTATTTTACTACAAAATGGTAACCAAAAGGGCTAACTATGGGGAATCGATCTGAAGACCCAATCGGAAACCACGTAATTTCTTTTTAATTTTCAACTAAGATCTGCTCAAAATTTGTTAATAACGAAAAAAAAATTAAATGTTTTAAACTAATTCTCACATGATTAAATGCAAATATTTGCAAGTATTAGCGCTATTGAAAATATGAAAAAAAAATTAAATTAAAAAAAAAATCACATCATTTAGTCTATTACCTAATAAATAAATTAAAAAAAAAATTAAATAAATTAATTGTCAGTTATAGAAAAAAAAACAATTAATAAAATATGAAAATAATAAAAACAAAAATAAAAATATTTTTTTTAAATAGGTACCTAAGCAAAGGTAAAAAAATAAATAATTTTTTACTTTTTAAAATTTTAAATAAAAATTTGAAATATATCGTTTTAAAAATTATTTTTCTTAAACGGTACATTAACATTAGTGACTATTAACCGCTAACATGTACAAATACATGTATCACAGAATTTCAAGGAGACAAATTTACCAAAAAAAAATTTAATCACATGGATACAAAATGGATGGTTACACTACGGGATGGGAGTTTGACATTGCGACAAATTACATTTAAACTTACTATTACAGAACTACTTATCAAACAAAAATATTATCGTAAAATGTGTATCAATAACTTAATATATAGTTACTTAAAACTAGATTTTATTATTATTATTAACCGCATAAAATGAAATTTACATTGCAATGTAACAGCTGTTAATTGGTTTTACGTAACTGATTTAATCATGTATAAGTTCTTATTCCTTTTGAAATGACTAACTTTTATGAATGACCAGTTCAAAGAGAAACTTTTTTCAGAATACACTTGAAAATTTCACGAATAAACCAAAATATTTTAAAATGGAAAAATATTAACACATATTCAATAAATCAATTATCCTGTAAAAACAATTTTAAGAACAGAAAAAGTTAATTAACATAAATAAATAAAATAATAATTTTAACGAATGTTTTAAATAAGAATAATTTACAATTTGACACAAACAAAAATTCTCAGACTAAAAATTAAAGACAAAATACTAAATTTAAAATAATTTCTGCATAAACTTCGCTAAATAAAGTCGAATGTCAAATTTAACAAGTTGTTTAATAAGTACAATAATCGGATCGTATGATTTTGTTATTAATTTTTTCCAAATAACAATTTAGACATAAGCCACATACAGTTTAATTTTATTACTTAATAATATATAGTAATTGTTAAAGTAAAACCTTTTATTCGATTACTAAGAACTACATAATTTAGTCATATTATATAAATTTTACATCTAAATTATGAGGTAGTTAATAATTATGCTTTTACAGTAAAAATAACTATGTACCATTAAATATGTAATAAAATAAAGTTGTATGTAGGCCATATTAATTCTTTAGAAAAAAAACAGCTTATATTGTCAAGAGGAAAAAATTAATAGCACTGGAAAAACCATTAGTTTGTATTTACAAAACAAAAAGACTCAGTATAATTTATTGGAGAGAAAGGATTTTGAAAACAATTTTAATCAATTTAAATATCTTGTTTTAAATTAAATCGTAAAATTTTAGTTGAGAAAAATTTGTATCAAAATATAATATATATTTAAAATACATCGTCACCCTGTTATTCTGAAACTGTAAGAATATTTAAAAATGAATTTTTCTCAGAATTAACAGGTTGACCATATTTTTCAATGGTTTTGTATGAAATTTCCTAAGTAATATTAATTTTTCTTTCGAGAACAAAACAACGTTAACTAAATTTTGAAATGGCCAAAATACTCTTTAAAAAATATATGAATAAAAATAATGTAACTTAGGTATTGAAAAGTAATAACAAAAATGGGAGTTACCTACTCTTATTGGCTTTGGTTTTGTTTTGCCTAATTTTTTTTATTTATTTGTGCGAAAAATGTTGATAGGAGTCATCAGGTGATGCCGTTGTCGAAGGATGTTCTTCCGCTGGAATTGGAACTGTATGAATTATGTTTGGTGCAGAGCTTGTGAAGTACGGATAACCTGGGTGTGGGCTGGCCATGTACTAAAACATGGATACTTAATTTAAAAAAAAAAAGGGGGAAATGAGCAGTTTTTATATGATATTTTATTACACTATTAAAAGATTCTTAGCAATTAAACATGATCAAAGTAAATTATTCATAAATTATAAAATTTAAAATAAATGTATGTATTTATAAGTGTAATACAATATTTTTTATAAAGATATAATAATTAGTTTGAGAAGAATTATGTTATTTCAAATAATTAAAACTGTAATAAAAAAACACAATAACCGTAGTTAATAACTACTATAATACTATATAATATTTAATAAAATAACCTAACCTAATTTAAGATTTCAGAATTTTTCTTAGAACTTACAGTTAAAATGAAATTTGTTGTTAAAAAATCAATAATTTCATTGCATAGTAATAAAAGAATGAATAACAATTAATAATATATATGTTATAGAGTCTATAAAATGTATTTTCTGTATAGTTTGTATAGTAAATAAAATAGCTGAAATGAATATTAATTAAAAAATATGTATATACATATAGAACGATGTCTATATTATAAACATATTAAATGTTTGTATTATAGACATTGTTTTATAATTTTTTTTTTTTTAATATTCATTTCAACTATTTCATTTACTATACAAATTATACAGAAAATACATTTATAGAACTAATATTCAGAAATGTAGGTAAGTGTTAATGAAATGTACTGACAAATTATCAAAGGAATATAATAACGAAAAATTCATTGGAGTGAAGTTAATAGATGAATTGTGTATTCAAGTTATATTTTAATATTTATCTAGAATACTTAACATAGGTTAGTCATATAAAAACCAAATTTGTTTTATTATGATTTTTGATGAAAATGAATAAAAATGAAAGACAATGGATCATTAAAAATACTAGTCACTAGGCTTCTCCAATGATATTTTCTTTAAACATTGATATAGTCTGTTTTTTCACGATACTTAATTGCAATATCGAAAAAAAATTAAAACGTATTTATTTATTTATATCCTCACATTAATCAGGGTACCAGGTAATGGCACACGTTTATAATTAGCCATTATTATTATCAATTGTTAATTAATATATGAAAAGTAAAAAAATAACAATTTTAATCAATTAAAAAAATTAATATATTAATAAGAAAACACAAAAACGAATGAACGAATTAAAAGAACAAAATTTAAGTAATGAAAAAAACTATAGACGATCAATAATGATAAATAACTTCTGTACAAATACTAAAAACTAATTTGTTTTGTCACTGGTAAAATTATTCTCCCGTTATTATGCGCTATTTTTAACCTGATCTCAAAATAATTAAAAACCCATGGATTGACAATATGTTTATTTATTATATTACTCTACAATAATATGCAAAAGTATCATGTGATATATTAAGAATCGTTGGAGAAGTTTAGTAGATAGTATTTCACTAACATACAAAGTAAATTTATCATTTATTTTCTAAATTAAAGGTTAACATTTTTATTTTAGAAAAGAAACACGTTATTATATTGTTTATACACTTGAATCATTTTATTTGCTAAGAATCAAAGAGTAATGAAATGCCTTTATAATAGTGACTTACTGATCCATTTCCGAGTTGTAGAGCAGACATATGTGTAGCAAGTTGCGGTATAACTGAACCATATTGAACAGAACCTGGATCTGCTGGTTGAATCATCTGACAACATACAGGAGTCTTAAACAAAACATTTATATTTCTTATTAACACATGTACCTCGATCGAAGTGTAAATAATATTTAATTCTAAATTGTTTTAATAATGATCAACTTATTTAAATGTAGATAATGGCATACTTCGATTTGGGCTAGATGATGTGGTGGTGCAGGTTGCATTACATATTGTGGCAACCATGATGATGCAGGGATCGAATATCCATGGGCAGGTAATGCCTGTGTAGTATAATGACGTCCAACATATTGTGCCAGTGTAGCAGGTATAACATGTGAACCACCTGTTCCAGTCAAACCATTGTGAGTGCCATCATATCCAACATGAGAACCCTGCAACATATAGTGCTGTACCGGAAATCGCACACATCCGCCATTCTGTCACACAACAATTGTACACAAATAGTTTATCACACAATATTTAGAAAGAAGATAAAAAAATTAATCTAATTAATAGCAAATATAATAAAGCATAGATTTAATATATCATAAGATTAACAACATAATAAAACCTTGCAGCATGCTGCATTGATCGTACATCAAGAAAAAATTCATTATCAAGCAACTAACCATAAAAATAAATATATCAAATATTAGTTTTTATGAAAGCTGAAAAACGTATATTTTATTGAAAAATAATGTTATAAGTTTTAGCTACTTTCATTCATATTTATATCCATTGAATAAATTTAATTACAATGTAAAAAAAAGCATGGCATTATTTTTTTACTCTAAATTAATTTGTAGTACAGATTAAAATTGATTTATATTACACAAGATCTTAAGGTATTTATAATTATTTAATATTTAGTATTGGCATAGGCATGTTCAAACTTTGGTGACCGAGGGGGCATTAAACATTTTTAAATCGTGAGACCTATTTTTTTCATACATCAAGAAACATTTATTTTTTATGATAAAAAATTCGCAATGATAAGAATATTTTTTAATCAAGACTAAAACCATTGGCATGTAAAAACAATAAAAATACATTTAAAACTAATAATTAGATACATACATAATAGGTACTATTGTACTGTATTACCACACGACTTTTTTTTTATTCGGGCATGATTTTTGTTGGAGACACAGCCCACCGGGAGGGGAGGGGGAAATGCCCAACCGGTGCCTTCCGTAAACATGCCTATCAATATTAGAAGGGAGATTTTAGGTCTGTAGTTATAATTTATATATTAATTTTAATAACCATTATGGAAGAAAATAATTAATATAAATTTTCAATTTCTACAGTTAATAAATATAAGTTAATATACTGATATACTGATAAGAATGAAGTAGTATTTACTAATTGCGCCCAGCAGTAAAAATTTCTTCTAAATTGTGACTCGAGTATTTTTGGGATATATACGAATTGTGGTCCGAGGAAATACTAATTTAACATTTTTTTTTTATTATAAAATTGTACATAGAATGTTTATATTCCTTCTAAATTTTATACAAGCTTAGAACTTTTTATAGCATCAGTATTATAAGTAGTTTTGTATTTAATTGTATAGATCCTTATCAATACTTTTTTTTAGTATAGCAAAATCAAAAAAGCGGTGAAATGTTCTTGGCGTGTATTTTGGTACTAACATTATACTGTCATTATATTTTTTCAGTGAACATTGAACTCTCCCCCATAAATATTAGAAAAAATGTTATAAAAAATAAAAAATAATAATAGTTATTTCAATATTTCCCATGAGACTTTAAATATATTTATATATATATTATATAATGAGTAATAAAGCATGCTATTTATCAACATTTTACACATTTTCAAATACCCCCCCCTGCCCGAAATTTTTTCCTGCGTTCGCTACTGATAGATCTGATAAATATGACAAATATTAATCGGGCTGTAACTTGAATAATAAAAAACCCGGGTCACAAATCGTCTGTACCTAAAAAACATTCTGGCCGCTATTTGAATTAAATCGTTTTTCGTAGATATTTTTGGGATACAACTAGGATAATCTAGTATGCAACCGTTATTTTCATTGATCCCTATTAATTTTATTTTAATAACTATTTGAATACTACCTACGATCAATGCCGTTTAAATTTTAAACATTATACCTCTGATTCTCTCCACAAACGAGAATCTGATCTGTAGCTAGTGTTTCTTTTCTTTTGGCCACTGTCAGCAAATTTAACCAACAAAGGTTCTTTTGATCCCGGCAATGGATTACCATTAAACATTTGAATGATTTGTTCACACTTTTCTTTGGAGTCCATTCTGTAAATAAATACAACACAAATATATAAACGAGTGAAATAAATTTAAACGTATAATATGTATTATATACACATCATTATATAATACAATATTATATAAATTCTATAATTAATTTACCTAGCAAAACCGACACCTTTGCTGACCATATTTGTGTCACGTAAGATTCGAGTTGACACTACTTGACCAAACTTTGATAACAATGTGTCTAAATCGTTTTCTTTGAAATTTGGTGGCAAATTGGCTATATACAAGTTGGTTGGATCTTGTTCTTGCTGCTAATAATATTAAACAACGCAAATATAAAAAACTGTGAAGTTTTAATTTTAAAATTATACAGTCAAACAGTAAATAAAAATGTAATATTAATCATAAAAAATGTTCTTTCCTAAATAAAGTAACCACACACAAATCCCTTCTGTTTAAATATATATTGTTTTATTTTCTATAATAATTATAAGACTCCGGTATAAATTTTGATGATTAGAGATTACCTGAATAAGATCATCTAAAATCTAGAGCTAAGCAAATCCCACGTAGAAGATTTGATATACTTATCAACCAAGAATCTATTAAAATTTAACACAAAAAAAAATTGATTGTGAAAAGGAAATATAATTTATCCAATAAGATTATACAATGACATTGTATTTCGTAGAAGGAAAAAATTTACAAACGTAAAAAAAATTATTATTCGTTCAACAATAAATTTTAGCGATTGTTTTTGAGACAAATTATCAAGCTTCGAACATGTCATTATGCAGTGTACTAATAAGTTTAATAATTCGATAGCTATGAGTCTAAGTTTTTAACACAATATTATTAAGCCAGTAGAAAATATAAGCGAACATTAATAAACAGCAGTAGGAAAGGCTAGAGATAATAAGACCAGGGTTTATATATTATAAGTATTAACGACGGTGGTAAGTAAATTTACTATAGTGGTTTTGAATCTACTGATTTTTACTTATGTAAATATTATCTTGATAAATATTTTCTTTATTATTCATTCTTTATACCAACACAACATGTTTTTAACAAAACTTGATCAAAATTTAATTTCTAAAATATTAAAAATACATTTAAAGTAAAAAATTAGCCTTAAATTTGAATTGATATAAAAATGTATTTATGTAAATGTACTATAAGATGATAAAATTAATGTAATTATTTTCAATTTGCCAAAATATTTAGATCAATACGGTTCAATATCATTATTCGATATTTTGCATTAAATATTGCATTGCATTGGTTAAAAGTGAAATTTTAAGTAAGTACTAACATTTTAACACACTACTTGAACACTATTGAAAATAACTAGGTAACAAGTCAAACACACTTTTAATAAAAATGATAAAAATTATGATGTATGACAAAATATAATCGAAAATAATTAATAGAACATAAAAGCTTGACTGGCATATAACTGTTAATAAATTAAAAAATAAACATGTGAGATTGATAATAAAATAATTGTCAATTAATAGCTAAAATTATTTATCAATAGAGACCAATAACTCAGTTAAAAATCGTTTCAACTGAACATAAACTACCATATGGTGGAATTAATTTAAACTGATATCGACTAGCTTTCATATATGACAATTATAATAATTTAATAAGTATAAAAAAATAATAATTGTAATGTTTTAAATTTTAAGACAACTCTTGACGTATCATTAGGAAAATTACAAGTTTAGTTATATAATATTATGCACACCATATTTTAACTAAAGTAAGGTTTTAAAATAAATTAACTTTCAACCACTTAAACAGTACAATTAAATTGTATATCCAATAAGATTATTTAATTTAAATACATTTACCATAATACCATCCAAAAATACTGATAATTAAATTTTCTACTTTTTTTACAGTAGTGAAGTAGTAATTTTTTTACTGTTAAAAATAAAACGAATTCAAATTAACGACTTGTCAACACAATGTTTTTTAAGTCACATTTTACCTTAAATTATATACTTGAACAGTTATAATTAAACGATTAATAATAATGGATTTTGAACTTATACCTATTACAAATAATTATTCAATACAACGAAAACTTAAACACAAAATTAAATTAAATCCATAATTTAAAAAATAGATAGACAAACATAATACTATTTAAAATATTAAAAAAATTTAACGTTTTTTTTAGGAAATATATCAATTGTGATAAATATCAGTTTTAGTAAATATTAAGTATACAAATGGTTTAGGTTTTCGATAAAAATATATTGATAAAATGTTTTAAACAGTGGTCAGATGGTCAATTGATTTTTTTATGAATTTTATACATAAATACGAATTTAAATTATCTAGTTGAATGTAAAATATGTGAGATTAAAATATTAGTTTATGAATACTGTTTAGATATTTCCTTGTATTTCCTGATAAATGTAAAGTAATAAACAAAGCTTATGTCACTAGTTTACGTGACATGCGTACACACCCATATATTATAATATATATATACACATACATTGTTATCGACCTACATCAAATCAAACAATGAGAAGAGTCCTACAAATATGTGAAAACCTTGTACAGATTAAAAAACAATTAAATAAATGAGTTTGATACCTGAATGACGAATTTTTAAGGATTTTCTGTGTGGGTTACTATAAATATACACATCATACATTGAAAGCCACTTAGAGTCCATTACTCCAAACATATATAAAAATATTAAGACGCTCCACAAACTGTCAACATTTTTTAAAATAGCTGAACTATTCACATTGTAAATAAAATAAATTTGCACTTAAAACACACACAGACAGACACGTGCACACAGAGACTCACCCTGTAATAATATAGATACAACATACATACATATACATATTGTTAATAAAACAATAAGATCCTTCACGATGTGAGAGAACGAAAAAACCATTACTATACTGTTTGACAGCGATAGAGAAATAACAGTATTTAATATATTCATGCAACAAACGTACAGTGGCCGCTCTACGTTGAACTGGAATACCCACTTTAGCCATTTGGGCTTGTACACCTTTTGCTTGTAGACCTTTGACTGCAGCATCAGCAAATGAGCCCGATTCAAAATCAACAAATCCGTAACCTACAAAAGAATAATAGTAATTTTCGTATAACCTTATTTAGTGAGTACGGTAATAATATAGTGGGATATAAATAAAAATAATATTATATTATCCATACACTTGTTGGTATTTTTGTCCAATATCGCTTTGGTTGAGACTATGTTTCCGTATCTGTAATGAAAAAAAAAAAAAAAATTGGATTATGAATAAACATCGTTAACGTATATCATAGTAGGTACAGTATAAATACAAAAATATAAACCAAATAATACTGAATCTCGAGTTGTTTCAACACGCAACGGATCTAGTGGGTGAATAAAACATAATGTGTTATTGATTATTGTGTCATCGTATGGTACGATATACGATAATAGTAATAATAAAACGAATAAACAATTATAATTAGTTTAACATACTCGTATAATAAAAAGAGCAAAAAATACAAAGAGAAGCGTAAGTAGGTATATCAAGAGTGAAAATAAATATTCCTATGACAAAAATGATAGTAAATCCGTTTTATTAAATATCCGTCTTACTAATTAATAATATAATCCACGAAGATCATAGACAATTGAATAAGAAATAGTACTCACTTTAAAATATCTTATTAAATCGTGTATTTCATTATAGATATATTTTAAGTTTAACCCAGAAAATTTTAAATAATTTGTTTTTCTTTTGATCGAGAAATTGAGAAACACACGTTTTACACGTACAATTCATTATGTAGATAAGCAATTTGTATAAGTGTATCGTTACAAACATAATAATAATAGTAATAGAAAATATTAACGTACTACGGATCTTGGTGATTTCGATCGGAGAAATCGTTCCCTACATTGCCATGAGTAAGACTTCTTAAGCCTCGTAATAATATGATTCGAAGCCGTATTTTAATAAGTTACCGTCACGGCTGACGACATAAATGAAAGATACAATATGATGCCGTCATCGTAACTCGGCGATCGTTAATAAATTCATGAAAAAAATAGTGCATATACTAAAAACCAATACACCGTCACCTTGAGATATAATATATATATATATATATTGTAGACAAGCTTCAAAACAACGTGAAATGTGCGCAGTTAGTTATATTCATATGGTGTGTTAGGTATTTAAGTAAGTAGGATGTAGTAAGTGTTTAATTGTTCCACTACGTCCGTTTATTAGAAACGATTATTTAAACTCACTGCGAACACATGGTGACCAAGTCTTTGTCCGTTGTATTCTGGTTCAAACCGCGTATGTAAAGATTGGTCTTGGACAACTGCTGAGTCGGCGCGGCCGATTGACATTCCGATGACGGAGAACTTGTGGTCGGTTGGTTAGACGATTGCAATGACGTTCCTCCGTTAGTATTGGAGCTCGAGCTGCTGTTGGTGTTGGCCGGTGATGAAGCCGTTGGTATTCTGTTGTTGCTGTTGTTGGTGTACTGTAAAAACAGAAAAACAATTACGTAGAATTATTACGATCTATACATGAAATAATCATTTGCTTTCACTCTTAATAATCATACGTTTTGATTTAACGATACAAATTGTATTCTTTTTTTTTTTTCATTATATGTACGCGTACCCACGTTATTCCGCCACATATGCCGTTAATCCGGCAAGAAAAAAAATATTCTTTACTATTATTATTGTTGTTGTTACTATTATTTTCATTATCATTTTTTGTCGCTAAAACAAAATTTTTTAACTATAGTTTTATGTATTAATATATATTAAATCGTTTTGATGGGAACTGACAGCGATGTTACGCTACGCATGTTTTATTGAAAAAATTACAACAAAATATATAACGTTGAATTGAGTTTGAAAGGAAATTTATGAAGAAGGCGGCAAAATGAAAATGTATACCAAAGAAACTCTGTAATTTAAAAATTCCTTCAAAAGCAAACAAGCACATCCCTTATTTTTATATTATAGGTAATTATATATATATATATTTTTATTTTATTTTTTTTTTTACGAGTAACAAACTCATCATTTAACTATAGTTGTTTATATTACCGAATAAAAAATATATAAAAGTTGAAAATAAAATACAGCTTTTTTTTACAGCTCCGCCACTATACTGTATAGTAAGTTGTGTTTTATAGTAGCGTAATAGTAATAGTAAGTACTCGTAGTATAAAGTAATAATTTATATTTGGTACACAATTACGGTGATTTTGACTGTTAGTTAATACACCTATATTTTATATCTTATCACGTTTGGACAGCGGTGTACACAATAATTATTATATTGGTTTTATATGTATTTAAATTATTAATTATTAATTTTTTTCTTCTCTTTATCATCATAATAAAAATCGTATTATGGTAGTTAAAATCAACTGACTAGTTAATTATTCGTATACAAAATACAATCCAAGTACGTACTTACAAATATACATACGACGACGATTGCGTTTATCGCACCGACACCAAATATACGTACCTACATACGAAATATATATATCCTTACCCAACAGACTAAAGCGATTAAACGATAAAAAATTTTTAGTATTAAACATTTTCACAGCATGTCCTACTATGATATTTAATGATACATTGATATATTTATATTTATTGAATCATTTATATTTATATATACTTTCGAAAGAAAATATACTTCGGGTGAATGGACTTTAGAAATAATAACAAAAATAGTATAATAATGTATGCGAAAACTAGCTGTGCCTATGTTATAATCGTATTGAATAGATTACAGGAATTTGGCGATTCTGAAACGAGTTGTGGCGTAGCGAATAAATGTCATGGGTTCTCAAAATAGTCACAAAATGGTTTAAATACCTGTTAAAAATCCGGACGAAAAAAATAATAAAAGTCTAAAATAATATTTCGAAAACTGATATATAGTTTAAACATTTTAAAATAAATAAAATGTAATATAATTTAAATTAGATTAACAATAGATTAGGTATGCACAAATACTATAATGGACATATGTTTTAAGTTCATTAAAATACATATACAGTGATAAGTTTGACTGGTAATAATGTTTTCCGAACAATTACATTATTAACATAAATACGAGTACAAAGTTCATTAGACAAAATTGAAATGTATAGACAAAATACAGACGACACACGTCAGAAAAAACTGTGATAAATAACGATAATGATGTAGTAGTACATATTAAAAATCTAATATTATAGATGATATATGTGAAAATAATTAAAATGAGTTTAATAACCGACCACGTATTACTTATATATTACCACATAAAACACAGCTGTATATGTTGCAATTATCTAGGGTAGTTAGACCAAATCGGTTCATGGATTACCATTATTGTTAAAAAAAAAAAAATAAGTATCCTTATAATTGCTATAAATTAGTTACATCGCACATCGAAAACAAGAACTCGTGAAATTATAAAACATCCAAATTGGTACGTTAACCCTGTACAACCGTAAATGGCTACATAACAGTACTACGTCGAACAATTGACGTTAATATGCGAGAATATTGCATAATATATGATTCAACGAGTTTCAAAAAATTATTTTCTTATTATTTGCAGAACCTTAACGTCCCTAACCTTAGTTTATTCAGGAGTTGATCTGATTTGCATACATTTTCAATAAAATAAAAGTCAAACAATGCTCGAAATTTCTTAGCTTTTTGATCTAAAGTGAATAGTATTCAATGATTTACTAACAAAGAAATATAGTAAATAATATGTTTATGAATATGCACTTGCGATGGTTATGAAGAATTAATGAAAACTTTGACTATTCGAAAAACGTAAATTGGACACGTTTCATACATTCACAGTAATGACCTTGATTGGAATTTCGGGACCACTATATAGATATCGTGCATTAACCTGATATTGAGGACAAAATATTATATGGAATGCAATTTTTTCCAATTCATAAATGGAACTTCTCACAATATATAGTGATAATAATAATAATAATAATAATATGGGAAACCAAATATTTTTAACGGTGCATCACGAATGGCATTTGAACGAGTCCACTCTTCCCAACCGCTACCAAACATATTACATACTTGTGTGCACCAAAGTACTCGTATATTCAAGCATTTCTTCTCAGTAAAACTATTGTCCATAAAAGACATTTTTTTTTACATTTTTTTTTTTTTAAATCCTCACTAAGAATATACATATTTCGTTATGAAAACTAACACCAATACTTTTATTAATCAATCACACTTACTTCGTATTCCCATTATCATCACTGCTATATTATATATATTAAAATATTGAAATAGATCTAATGGCCAATATTATGAAGTAGAGTAGAATAGACGATTAATTGGTTTAAATTAATTATACACGTTATCATTACATATTGAATATAATATATAGTTTACACAAATTATTATAATATTGATCAAACTATTTTTTCAAACCTTAGTCCACTCATATTAAATGCCATATGCGGGGAGGGGGAAAAGTTGGTGATTATATGGATGTGTTTTTGATCGACATAATGGTCTAAGGAAAATATTAGTTATTTTAAATAAGAAATAGTAAGAAAATTCAAAGATTATTTTCCATAAAACTAGTTTGTATCGTAAATTAAATTGTTAAAAATACTAGTTAATAAAAATAGATAAAAATAATCAATAACCAATTATTTTATAAGAATATTCAAATTATTAGAATTGAAATTGAAATTTATATCGATATTGATGTGACATAGGTAAATCAAAATGAATACTGTTTGTTAATTAAGAAGGCATATTAGAGGTACCTATACACATATAATATTTAATAAAATATTTAAAAATAAACGAAAAGAAATTTGTATTTTTTTAATGAAATAATGCAATACCTTATGCAAATATCAAAGTACGAGTAGCATAAGTTAAAAAATATTATTTACAATTATATAGATAAGTACAATATTAGTTATAAATAATTGTGACTGATATACTGATTTATTGTAAAATAATTAGTACTAAAAAACTAAACAATAGTTTATATTAAATCAGTATACTACACATTACCAATACTAATTTAGATGAATTGGTCATGGTGTTTATACAACTTAAATCTTTTTTTTAAAATATGAAAAGTAAATATAAAGTGATGGAACAGTACTTAAATTTAACACTTTTAATAAATAAGAAATAGCATAGTAAATCTGTTGATGACGAATCTTAATAACAAAAGATGCTGGAATGTGAGCATGTTACAACAATGACTCACCAACGTCCAATGAATTACAAATACCTAAGACTTTACAAAGAGGCAATGTAAAATTAGTTCCGGACGTAGAGAATAATGATCAAATAAAAAAATGTAATACATTTATTTAGTACATTTATGATATGCATTTGTTTATAAAAAATTAATAATAGAAATAAATTCTGTTACTAACACAAACAATGAAATGTATTACTTATTATATTAATAATTTATTAATTATTTACTTATACTAATTAATTATATATGTTTAAATCAGTTGAGTATTTTGATTAAATGTTTATCCGAGGACAAAGTCATATTCATTCCTTCGACCAAAAAACAAATTTTGAAATATGAAAGGTTACTTAGTAAAGATTAATAAATAACACCATTTACTGTATCAAATAATTTATTTTATAAAATAAAATTCTTAGTTTGAAAATATAATTTTTAGGTAATAATGTTTGGAGCATTTTATTGTCAAATTTCTATGTATATATAGTATATATCTATGTATTGTAGACAATAAAATACAAAATAATTTAACTATAAAAATTATAATATGTATGTTATAACCAGGGTTCGTAAGTTCGTGCCCTGGAAAATCCTAAATAAGCATGCATTTATGCACTTAAAATTGGCAAAATATGCTTTGAAATATGCCTTAAAAAGTTCAAAAATATGTATTTATATGCACTAAATATCAAAAATTATGCACTTAAAAAAAAAATAATTAATAATTTTTGAAATAATATGAATCATCAATTAATTTTTTTATAGCTATATTTTATTTTTTTATGTCTCAATTTAAAAAAATAGAATTTAAATACTATTTAATATTATTCTTGAGCCTTCATTAACTGCGTATTATGTACGTCTTTGTAAGTAATTATTTTAAATCTGAAACTTTTGAAACAAATGTATTCATTAAATGCACGAGTATCAAGAAGATAAGAAAAGATGATAATACAATTTCTATTTTTAATTTTATATATATTTTCCATTTAGATTTTTGATAGATTCTAATAGAATGTTGTATAATATACCCGATAAAATAGAAATATTCATAAATATGCCAAATATACAAAAACATGCCAAATATGCAAAAACATGCAAAATAAGATTTCACATATTTAACCGTGGTACATTGAAATGGATTTCTATGTCATCTAGCCTTAAATACAACTGATTGATATGCAAATGCATGAACTTACGAGCACTGGTTATAACTATACTATAATCAATTACTCTGGTTTAAATTAC